CCTAGGAGGCATGCGAACCACCACCACGATAAGGCCCCTTTCAAACTAAACCTCGTCCAACGAGTCCATTTCCGCTTCTGTTTATCGTCCTACATCATCGTCGTTTCCTGCGTCACTTAACCTCACATCAAGCACAGTCCACGTCTTTGCTGATGCTACAGGCAAAGACAAGGCCGACACTCAACACGGACATAACGTTCCCCGTCCCATTCCGCCTATCCAATCGGTCACTTCGCGGCCGACACCCCCATCATCCCTGGTTCAGGCATCCCCTTGCGACAGGCTTGCCTTGTCGTACCCTGTCGCCCACGTTCAGCCCCTCGCTCGCCCCATCAGGTGTGCCATTACGAACGTCCTGCAGAACGGATCCTGCGGGACGTAGGTGGCATGCGCCTCTGCGGCCCAGACGGTCTTGCAGCACATTCCCTTTAAACTCTCCCACACCCCTTCGTCCCGCGCACCTACATCCGAGCCGCTTGAACTTAGTCCCCTGATCTTCAACGCCCAGAGATCTCGCCGCAATCACTTGTATCTCGAGTCCCAGTCCCTAATAACCCGGAGAACCCCATCGAGTCGACCGACATCGCTTGTGACGACGACATCCTTGGACTGACGCTGGAGGGGAGGATCACCGGAGGAGGACGACGCATCTTGGTATACGAACGACTTCCGATTTCATCATGGCTGCCGGGCGAACCATCGAGTTATAGATCGGGCCACAACGCCGTCGTAAATAATCGCCCTCACCGCTCGAGCATTCAACCGCTAGACTTTTGAAGATGGACGACATGTTACCGCCGCCGATGACCCCCTCCGAGCGAGGGGGTTACCGGCGGACCAACGGAGGCAACAATGCTTTTCACAACTTTTACAACGACTATTCGCACATATCAGACCCCGCCCTACGGAGGCGGCTGGCTTTGAGCGAGATTGACAAAGTTCCTTTTGGCTTATACCGTTAGTTGATGATTGCCCATTCGCCGACGCGTGTTCACTAACACAATGGAACAGATGTAAGAGCGATTCTGGTAGCAGGTGTTGGATTCTTCCTCGATTCGTACGATATTTTTGCAATCAACCTTATTATCACCCTCCTGGGGGTTGTTTTCTGGCAAGGGCCTCCGGATCAAATTCAGCATGGCTACGGCGGTAACCACGGAGAGTTACCGGGCTCCGTCAACTCCGCTCTTAAGGCTTCGACTAGTGCTGGAATAATCATCGGTCAGCTTGTATTTGGCTGGCTTGCGGATGTCTTCGGCAGGAGGAGGATGTATGGAGTGGAACTTGGCATCATTATCTTGGCGACGCTGAGCGCTGCACTCGTCTCGCCAAGTCAGTCCGTTGGGTTTACAGGGCTAATGATCTTTTGGAGAATTATCATGGTAGGGTCATGATGGGTTTCCTCTACGCCCGCATAACTGACAACGAGCAGGGCATTGGAATTGGGGGCGACTATCCGCTCAGCTCGGTCATCACCTCAGAGTACGTTATCTCTCCTGTTATCACCTTTACCGGGTAATGCTCGAGCTTACACTCGCGACAGATTTGCGCCAACCCGGTGGAGAGGAGCCATGATTGCTGCAGTTTTCAGCATGCAAGGCTTGGGCCAACTTGGTGCCTCAGTCGTCGCCCTCATTACGGCGGAAGCATTCAAAGAATCTTATCTCGACGTCACCACAATTGCCAGCTGTCATGAACGTTGTCAACTTGCTGCCGACCGTTCATGGCGAATCATTGTCGGAGTCGGCGCTCTCCCAGCCTGTCTTGCCTTGTACTACCGCGTCACCATTCCCGAGACGCCCCGTTATACCTTTGATGTGGAGCAAGATGTCGAGAAGGCTGACGCCGACATCAAGGCGTATATGGCCAGCAAGTCACAAGGCGAAGTCGATCCAGAGCTACAATTCAGGATGAAGAAACAGGCCGGACCCGCATACAACACCCCGAGTGCCTCATGGCGCGATACGTTTGCGTTCTTCGCTCAGTGGAAGAACTTCAAGACCTTGACGGGCACCGCCTTGTCCTGGTTCTTCCTCGTATGTTACCCTGCTCCTCAACAATATGTTAAGACACTGACATGTGAGGCAGGATCTAGCATTCTATGGCTTAGGATTGAATAACACCTCTGTGCTTCAAGCTATTGGCTATGGCGATGGAGCCAATTTCTACGAGAAGCTACACAATCAAGCAGTCGGCATGATTATTTTGTCGTCTGCTGGAGCTATCCCTGGTATGAATCTCTTTGCAAATATGCCTCGCAACTCTTTCCGCTGACATTGTCATCTTAGGGTACTGGGCTAGTGTATTCGCCATCGACACTATGGGTCGCAAGCCCCTGCAGATGTTGGGTTTCTTTGTCCTGACCGTTTTATTCTGCATCTTGGGCTTCATGCTTCATCAGCTTCCGCACCCAATCTTCCTCACGCTTTACATCATTGGTCAATTCTTCTTCAACTTCGGTAAGTGCTTGGAACGCGCCGTCTTCGCTGACCAAACTAACATGGACAGGCCCGAACACGACGACCTTCATCGTTCCGGGAGAGTGCTTCCCGACACGCTATCGATCTACGGGCCACGGTATCTCAGCAGCGATGGGCAAAGTCGGCGCCATTCTTGCACAAATCATTAGTATCCCATTGTTGTCGAAGGATACGCCTGCCGACTGTCACGGCAATGCCTGCTCGCCATGGCTTGACCGTCTTCTCGAGCTGTTCGCTTTGTTCATGTTCTTGGGCATGCTCGCCACCCTCCTGATCCCCGAGACGAAAGGAATGACGCTCGAAGAATTGGCCGGCGAGACCCCAACCTCTTACGATCGCGGTCGCAACGGCAGTATATCACACTACCCGCGCTACAGCGGCAGATGGAACCCCTTCGCTGGCGGCCACCCGGCTGGTTTCCATTACCCCCGTATGAGCAACATTCGGGCTGTCCGCGTCGGCATCATGACGTCTCCGGACCTTCTAGCCGAAGAAGAACGCAGAAGGAGAAATCAAACCCGGTTCTGGCGGAAGAGGAGGAAGGACAGGGGTGCAAATAATAGCACCGGTAGCTCGGACGAGTACGCCATGACTTTCCGAAATAGCGGCGTGTCTTCTTCCTACGGTCCCTCCACGGCCAACGCAGACGAAATACCACCTGAACAGGTCCCAACTTGGGGCGCTGGGTGGGGCAGAATCGATCGCGGCGCGCAGCCCATGGAGAACGTGAAGCTGCACGATGCCGGAAACCTCTTGCGCCGAGATTCGAGAGCATGATTTCTTTCTTTTAGGAAAGCGGCTGAAAGGGAAAGCGGGCGTTTGGGTAGGACTTTATGTGTTATGACTGGGAAAAACGCAAGTGAATTGCTCTTATGATTATGTGTATGTATTATATGTCCAGCTAGACAGTACATGAGTAATGTCATCATGAGGCTGCTCACGCAGCAACTTCAGCCAACGGTCCAAAAAAGATGTTGTAAGTCGCGGACGACTGTGATCATGATCAGTGGGAGGCTTGAACTCCCGGCCTTGGCATTACTCAACACATCTGATGATGTATTAGTACCACGCTCTAACCAACTGAGCTAACCGACCAGCTGTTGTTGAAGGAGGGTGCCCTAGCCCTTACTGTATGGGGCGGTGGGCGGAGGTGGATGTGGTGATGATTTTGAAGCGGGCCGGGGTCGGAGTGTGTGGGTCGCCGGACGGGGAGCAAACGACGGCTCGGGAAGAGATCCTCGGCAGTGAGAAGCAGTTTAGTGTAGCACATAGATTAATAGACGATAAAGCTAGTCATATCTGATTCAATAGATGTTAAATTCTGCTTTCAATAAGATGGAGTGCCTATCTAGAGTGAGGCGTTTACGTTGTCTTACACCGTCTTGTGGCATATTTTCGAGATGGGTAGATAAACCGGCCAGGCGCTAACGCAGCGCTTTCTCTATGCTTCTCATTTCAATCTTCATAGCCTCTTCTGGCCTCATCAGCTGCATGTTTGTGTAATGCCGACGGATAGGCCTCTGGGGGATATGGTCTGATCATGGTTTCTGAAGGAAACATAGCAGGCATCGACGGCGAGGTTAGAAGGGAAATAGAAAGCGTCTACTGCTGACAGTGTTCGCTAAAATCGTATATCTGACATTGACGTGTTATTAAAAGTCGATTGACTCCAAGATTAGCGCATAATATTCAGATGCGGTGTCGGGAGCAATTTTCCCATTTACAACAGATGTAAGTTGAAATGGCATTTGCTAAGATGTGAAGTAGCACTCGTGACAAACGACTCATTAGGGTGATGAAGTCTGAGAGGCGACTGTGCGCGACTGAGGCTGAGGTAAGAAAGAATTCTGAAACTAAGAGAATACAGGTTGAGCAAAAGAAAGATCAGCATCACGATTGATTGAAACAAAGCCGTCAACTCGAGTGATTCGCATCTTCAGGTGTGGGTCGGGCGAACACGGATTCTCCACATTTGCGCTACTTAGGCCACAAACTGACCGCGACTTCCAACGCCTCCAATCAACAATTGGAGATCCCGAACCTGGCCGGCTGGCGCAATGGTAGCGCGTCAGACTTCTATCCGCTCTTGAGTGGTGTAGTAATCTGAAGGCTGCGGGTTCGAGCCCCGCGTTGGTCAACTTTTTGCATTTTGGTGTGATGTTTCCATCGATTTTCGTCTGCGTGGCTTGCTGGTTGTGAGTTGTGCTGGTACGATGCTCTGGGGAGGGAAAGAAGCTGCAGTTTGTATGAAGATGTCCTGTGTACTTCGGAATATGATTTTGTAGATGGTGTAATTGAAGCTCTAATGGTTCTTTGCTTCCACGAATCAGCTACGTCATTCACTGTTGCACAGTGGCCTAAAGTGAGAACGAAGGGTCCGCCGCCGCTGGTCTTCGCTTGTTGCACACCTGAAGCTCACCGAAACCAAAGTGCCCCACTAAATTCCTGATGGTCGCATAAGCCGCGTCGAGCTCCCAGCTTCCCTCTCTCAAGGCAAGCTCACGCAGCCCAGATTGCAAGATGGTACGTATGCCCGCGCCGCATCTCATGCTCAGAGCATGCAGAGGCGACTGCGATTCTGATGTTTTATTCGCTTTTGCCACCGCATGTTTGGCTAATTCTGGCCCGCTCTCGCAGTTACCCCTCGGTCTTTTGAACGCTGCCCAAGGGCACCCCATGCTCGTAGAGCTCAAGAACGGCGAAACGCTGAACGGCCACCTCGTCATGTGCGACACTTGGATGAATTTGACGTTGAAGGAGGTCGTGCAGACGAGTCCGGTACGCGACGGCTTCCCCCCCGACATCGGTTGGACGCTCTCGACTGACGTGGATACAGGAAGGTGACAAGTTTGTTAAGATACCCGAGGTTTACGTGAAGGGAAACAACGTATGAACAATGGCCCGCGACCCATTTTAGACCCAGTGACACGGAACGCTGACGCGCTGCAACAGATTAAATACCTCCGAGTTCCCGACGATATTATCGATCTGGTCAAGGAGAACCAGCAGAACAACCAGGGAGGTTTCCGCGGAGGCAGGGGCGGACAATCGAGAGGCGACCACGGCGGTCGTGGCGGAGACAGGGGACGTGGCAGAGGACAGAGAGGCGGCCGTGGAAGGGGCCGCGGCCCATCATCATGAGGCGGGAGGTTTCCATGACTGCGAGGAATGCGAGAATGAGCTACGGCGCAACGGGCCACGCAGAGGTCCAGAATCCAGAATAATACCAAAGCAGAGAAGCATCTGCCCATGGAACCCACCAAAGAGCGTCTCGCGACGGAGGGACAGGGCGTGCTGCTGTTGGGCTGACGGTTGGAGACTTCCCCAGGCATCACCAGCAGCTACCTGGGCCTGGAAACGCGTGCACGCCGAATGAATCATTTTAAGTACTCTAAAATCAAACAAGAGATATCCATGAGATGAAGATTCTGCTCAAGTGCTTTGCCCGTGTTCAAATTGCTGCACTTCGAGAGCTCTCCAGGAACAGTCATTGAATGTCACGTGACCCCGCGCCGGCCAGGATGTTCGGTGACGAAAGCTCCGAATTCTGCCAGGTACAGCTCCAAGTATTTTGGCAGAAACGCGAACCCTGAATATTGCCAACTCCCATGTCGGGATCCCGAATAGTTTTCGACGGCCTATGGCGCTGCCTTTGCCCTTCCGTCGACGCACATGCCGCAGCCAAATTACTGAGTTCTCCAGCCATCGCCCGCCCGTCGCTAGCAACGAGACCTCGATTCCCCTCCACCCTCACCACTCGACCCCGCGCAGTCCGAACACAATGTCGACGGTACGGGGGCAGCGCATACCACGAAGCTGCCACGCAGAAGGAGCTTGAAGATGCGAGAAGCCGACTTGTACCCGTAAAAGACGAGCCGCCGGCGAGACAACGACCGCGGGACCACTCTAAGCCAGACCCAATAGAAGCGCTGCGAGCTGCGCCGGAGGCTGCTGTGTACGAAGCACTCGAAGTCTTGCGCGGGCAGCCGAAGAGCTTCGAGAAGGTGGCGACGATCATAACGCACTTGGTTACTGACCGCGATGTCGAATTGAGCCCCGCGCTGTACGAGCACTTGGTCGTCGCCATGGCAGATGTTCAGGGTTCCGCAGCGATGCTGGCACAGCTGTTTGCGGAGATGAGGGAGCTGCACTTGGCGCCCTCGCCGGCCATTCACCATGCAGCACTCGCGGTACGATATTAGATGCGAAAGTATCGGAGCTCATAAGCTAACTCGTGGCGACACAGGCTCTTGCGGTTCACCCCGATTACATCGTCCGAAACGAGGTCCTCGCAGCCATGAAACAGTCCTGGACGGAAATCAACCCGGAAGCAGACGGCCATGTCGCCCTCGGCCTCCTACGCGACGGGCAGTTCGAGCTCGCCCTCGACAAGCTGGAGAGCATGATCGACAACCACATCCCCGTGCAGCCGTGGGTCTACGACATCTTCATCTTCATGTTCGCGCAGCGCGGGTTCGTCGAGGAAGCCGTCCGGCTGGCGCACAGCAAGGCGCACACCACCGCGGCCGCCGACGACTCCGCCGAGAGCCCGCTGTCCATGTGGCACATGCTCCTGGATGTTTGCAGCCAGGCGTACCATTACGAGGGCACGCGGTACGTCTGGGGCCGGCTGTACGAGGCGGACAGGTATGCCTTGCCCGAGGGCGTGCTGCTGAACATCATTAACACGGCGGCGCGGCACCACGATTTTGAGCTGGTCACAAACGCGAATAAGCTGATTGCGCAGAGGGGCGGGAAGTTGCAGGCGCATCACTACGAGCCGCTTATCGATTGCTACGGCGGGGTTGGCGATTTGGAGGGCGCGCTGAGGGTGTTGTGCATCATGTTCAACGCCATCTCCGTCGCGCCGTACGCCAGCGCGCGCTCGATCTATGAGTGGGTCAAGAAGGAGCCGGAGAGCCTGGATTCAGCCCTCGAGGCGCTGGCTGCGTTGAAGAAGGAGTATAAGATCCCGATAGCGGCGCTGAATGTGCTCGTCGAGGCTGCGGTGGAGACGCATGGGTATGCCAAGGCGCTGGAGATTTACAGGAATGCCCCTAATTACACGGAGGCTCCCCCGAACCACGTTACGGTGCGGTATCTCTTGCAAGCCTGCGAGGACGCGGAGGCGCGGCGGATGCTGGTAGCCGAGGACCCGGAGCTGGCGCTCAAGGGCGACCGGCAGGTCTTTGCAGACGTTATCTTCGAGCATGTCATGGCGGGCGACCTCGACATGGCGTACAAGTGCGTGGAGATGCTGGGCGACGCTCCCGACCCGGAGACTGGCGCCAAGCCCGAGGCGTGGATCAGCCAGCAGACGTTGCTGGTGCTTGTGAGGAAGTCTCTGGATGCGCAGGATGAGCGTGTCTGGTGGTTGGTGGAGCAGGCGGAGAAGAGGAACATGGACGTCCAGTCTGGCATTGCGAAGCTGATGGCGTCGTTTGCGGAGCAGGTGAAGAGGACTACAGGGCTGGGAGAGGAGACTGGTGGGTTGGAGGACGATTCTGACGAGAGGCATCCTTGGACGTCGTGATGATTATGATGGTGTTGATCAGCTGTTGAATCAATCTTGGTAAATGTCAGTGACTGTTCGTATGGAGAGGCACAGGTCGGATCAAACGGGCGTTGTCAAATGAACTCGATAAACCCTAAAGGCATTTTGAGGGTAGAAAACACAAAAGATCACGACACCAAGTCTATGAAAGCCACTTGAAAGCTGCCCAGGACATCTTTACGGTCTCATGATACTTGCTGAAGCTCTTCCTATTCGTCACTGTCTACCTATTGTCTACCTAATTAGACATCAAAAACTTGAAAGTAGAGGTATACACAACACATGCTATCAGATGTAACCAGTGATGCGCTGCGAGCGAGTATGTCGCAGACGACGCAGTCGGTTACATTACATTGCCTGTTCGCACCTGAGACATGCTAGGCGTCTGGTTCGTCAAGACACATCGGCTCGCCAGCGTTCACATCCTCTTCGATCATGAGTTTGGCCATGCCCTGTGAAATGTCAAGATCCAGGTCCATGTTTCGACTTACTGAAGGCGACTGTTGCTCCACGGGGCTGTCCACGCACATGGCGTCCTCGTCATTGAGGTGATCCGTGTTGCTGCTCGAGGACATTGTCTCGGATGAGTAACGATAGTTGAAGACGATAATCTGGTTGGTGTGACTCTCTAAGTGATGGGCGCTTTTGTAATGTTGTTGATGGGGCGCAAGTGACAATGATGCAGTTATAATGATGGTGTTGAATGGTGGTATTGTGCAGTTGTGGTGTACTGAGAGCCGTGGACGATGGGCGTCTTATAAGGCTCATATCTTGAACACGCGTAAGATCTAACGGCGACCGGGTTGAGGCCGGTTTCAAGAGGACGCAGTGCCACATTGTTGAAGAGGACCACTAAACTCCTCAGACCATACACACAATGAACGTGTAATTGAAAGGCCGGACTTGTTCTTGACAAGTTTCAGATTGTACTTTTGAGACTCTCATTGAGATACAAGAAAAGCACAAAGATCTATCAAATTATTGCAGCCGAATTCCTCAAGGAAGTTGGCGTTTTTGTAAGCAGCATAACTTCAAGAGTTCTGCCATCTGGGCGAATAGTAGGCCCCAACGAAATAGTGACGATAATCACGACAATAGAGACGACGTTAGGGATAGGGACTCCAGGAATGATAACGACAACAGTAACGATAGGGAAGACAGGCACAATAGTGACGACAAGGACGACAGGGACAATAGGAGTAATAGAATCATTAACATATAATAAATTATTAGAACTAGCATGATAGTTGTCCGCCCGGATAGCAAAACTCCACCTCAAAGAAGGCTATGCGACAGGAAGACTTGACGAAAGGTCGCTAAACTGAAGCCCGGCAGCTAGAAAGAAGGTGAGGTATCCCGAAAATTGTGATGGATACCGATATGTTGAGCATATGTGACCGCTCAGAAGTCAGGCTGCCCAGGAAGTCAATGAAGTAGCAGGGGGGTAGAATAAAAGACATGAGCTCTGTCATTTCTGTATGAGGTAGACGAAACCTTGCGATACCCAAACAGAAGGGTGCATCTTAGAAGAGTATAATCTATCAGAAAAGCCTTTCGGATATTGGTTATGGGTGTATGTTAGTAGGGTCAAAAATAGTTTTGTCATACTTGATAGCTGGAGAGACGATGAATCAAGCTTGATAGTTGTTACTGAAGATCCCTTTGCTGCAGAGGATTCCAGAGCTGTTAATCGCGTCGGACTTAGCAAACACGGAGAGTAGCAATATTCCCGCTCACCACCAGAGAGCCATGTGCAACATCCGGACGTTCGTTTGTCCCGAACTCAACCGGAAACCCGAGAGAGTGGTCCAGCGTGACTCATCTGCCGTCAATTAACCTTATCTAAACCGTTGTTGCCGGGACGCAGATATGAGACGTAGCTCAGGCACTAACGATATGAACTCGGGCTCTGCTGACAGACTCCTCTCAGCTGAATAATTCGACCATTGTGCTTGAGCCTTGAGAGAGGTTCTGCCTTATTGGCAGCCACAGGGGCATCCAAGCTTCAGCACATGAGACGACGTGAACACCTGGAATCATCATCTCGAGCTAATTAAACAATCTCACGTCTCGTGAGGAAGTTTCCAAACGGCCAGGGGGGTTTTGTCCAGTGGTGCTTACTGTATGCTGCAAACGTCCCTGGCGTCCATGGATGCCATCTGCCGACGTAAGCCACACACCAGCGCACCTCGACGGCTTTCTCTCAGGCTATAAGCTTCAACATAGAAATGGCATTCTAGTTGCTTGGCGGCATACGGATTTATAAGAGTCGGAGGAAAACATTTTCCCATTCGAGAATGGTGTAACCTGTGAGTCGGCGCGGGATGACGAGTGGGCTTAAGCTTTTGACCCCAACCGCACATTAGCGTTCTTTCTTACGGACAAGCCAATCACAGACAGCCTTCCAAACAGATTTACGAGGGATGCCGGATCTCGCTGATAAATACACCAAAATCCGTGGGGCGGATTAGTGATTCCGTCATGTACCGCCAGTTATCCTAATCTTACACGGAAGCACCAATGTCTGACCATCAGCACTATCACTCGCTACACCTTCAGGGAACGCCAACTCCCCACACGGGTCTAGCGTGCTAAACTCCAGCGCCCGCCCGCAAGCCATCTCCCTCCCCACGGCGTCACGTCAGCCCTAGATGATGTTGTCTCTTGCTCCAGACGACTCGGAATGAATCGCAAAGTCCAGACGCGAAACGGGGGTCCAATGGCCCGGTGACACGGTTAGATCTTACCGCAGCAGATTTGAGACGTGGTAATCAGATTTGCCCATTGGGGAAACCGAGTGCCCCAGTCCCTGCGCCGCTGGAGCACGACAGCAGCCCAGACAGACGGTACCATGCATGCGCTCCATCTCCCTTTCCGGTAGCTTCGAAAGCTTCGATCCGGTGTGATTCATAATTGATGTTCACACACGCTAGAAAGGGGACTTGATTTCTTCCGCGTCGCGTTTAATGGTGCTCGTAAGCCCGGGCTGCCACGGACGGACGAAGGATTGACACCTGCTCGGTCATCATTGACGTGCTAGGCGCGATGTTAGTCCCTTTGGTGTTGATGTTAGAGGCTTGTTCCATTGTTCGTCCGAGATGATGATGAGTATATAGATGCCATGAATATCTCATGTCTAGACTCTCTTTCCTCACCACCCCATCAGCTTCAACATCAAACATACTTGACCTGAAGGCATAGACACATAAGTCTAGAGCCTGCGACAGCAAATCAACCAACCCAACATCGCTCCATCGCAGGATTGGCATCACAGATACCAGCGCCCAAGCCACATCATCACACAACGTCTCAATGGCGAACCTAATCATAGACGCCCCGGTGGGCCAGCTCATCCGTCTCCTCACAGGGACAAAATTCCTCCGCTACCCGGAAGAAGAGCCCGACTTCCAGCTTCCGCAACAATGGCTTGACGTTATGAATTCTTCCGATGAGAAGGACGACACTGCCGAAGCCACCCCGGCCGTAACATCACCGGCGCCGGCCAGTTCCTCCGCTTCCAGCCACAGCGACGAGGAGAACACACTTTCCAAGGAGAAGACGACTGACGCCGGACCGTACGGTGTCGGGGCCACCCGGACGAGGAGCAGAGAGGAGACGGTTCCGTACTCACAGGAACGCTTGGAAGTCGACGAGGCTCACGAGATTGAAAGGACCAAGAGCATACCTATCGCACCGAAGAAGACCAAAGATGGTGCTATTCTGGTGGACTGGTACTTCTCCGACGACCTGAGCAATCCTCTGAATTGGTCTAATAACAAGCGCCTCCTCATCACCGCCATTATCTGCATCTACACATTTGTGGTGTATACCTCATCAGCAATCTACACGAGCTCAATCGAGGGCGTTGTCAACGAGTTCGGCGTCAACCTCACTGAAGCTTCACTGGGTCTCGCCCTCTTCGTTCTGGGCTACGGCATCGGCCCACTGGTGTTCTCCCCCCTTTCCGAGATCCCCAGAATAGGGCGCAACCCGATCTACATTGTCACGATGCTTCTCTTTGTTATCGTTTCTATCCCTGCGCCATTGGTCGACAACTACGCCGGCCTGATGGTCCTCCGTTTCCTGCAGGGTCTCTTCGGCTCTCCATGCCTTGCTTCGGGAGCTGCCTCACTTGGTGACATCTACTCCATGATGAATCTCTCCTACCCATTTGCACTCATCATGTGGACTAGCTCTGCATACTGCGGTAAGCAACTGTCGATACCACTTCTCATCAATGCCGTTCTAATCATCACCTAGGTCCCGCTCTTGGTCCCCTCCTCTCAGGCTACGCCGTCACCGCCAAGGGCTGGCGCTGGTCCCTCTGGGAGATCCTCTGGGCCGCCGCCCCGGTCTTCATCGTGATGTTTATCTTCCTCCCGGAGACCTCCGCCCCTAACATCCTCCTCCGCCGCGCCAAACGCCTGCGCAAGCTCACCGGCAACTCGCGCTTCATGTCTCAATCCGAGATCGACCAGCGGAACCTCAAGACTTCAGCCGTGGTTATCGACGCCCTCATCAAGCCCCTTGAGATCACACTCAAGGACCCGGCCATTCTCTTCGTTCAAATCTACACGGCCATCATCTACGGCATCTACTACAGCTTCTTCGAGGTCTTCCCCCTCGTCTACCCAGTCTACTACCACATGTCGCTTGGCCAGATCGGTCTGGTCTTCCTATGTATCCTGGTCGCCTGCCTGATCGGCGTCGCCATGTACATGTCCTACCTCGCCTTCTACATGATCCCCCGCATCCGCAAGTTCGGCTTTCCCGTACAGGAGAGCCGCCTTGTTCCTGCTCTGCCTGCAGCCTTCGGCCCCACGATCGGTCTCTTCATCTTCGCGTGGACTGCATCGCCTGCAATCCACTGGATTGCGCCGACGATCGGAATCACGGTCTACGGCGCCACGGTGTTTGTGGTGATGCAGTGCATCTTCGTGTACGTCCCGCTGAGCTACCCGCAATACGCAGCCAGCTTGTTTGCCGGTAACGACTTCTTCCGGTCGGCGCTGGCGTTTGCGAGCATCCTGTTCGCGAGACCGCTGTATGGCAACTTAGGTGTCGCAAGGGGCACGAGTCTGCTCGGTGGACTGAGCACGATTGGAATCATTGGAATCTGGCTGCTTTACTTCTACGGAGCGAGGTTGAGGGCCAGAAGTACCTTTGCTATCTCTGGATGAGCGAACCGAGGAAGAGACTACATTTGATGGAAATTGGCACAGCGTTGTGTGGAGTCTTTTGAGCTGGCTGGCTCTGTTTGATGGTATACCTAGGCTGGGGGAATCATAGGGAATTGCGAGTCTTAATGATATACATAATGCTTAGATTTTCATGTCAATCCACACTGCATAATTATTGAATCATACCTTGCGCACTTACATCGAACTCTCAAACCCTGGATCTGGTGCTGAGTCGAATGCTCTATGCTAACTAGCAAAACCCTCATACGTATTGTAACGCGTAGCTTGGAATCTTTTCGTCAACAGCTCCAGCGCGAATATTGACGCCGAGAATAGGAACACACACTCTTTATTCAAGTTTGCATTTAGATCGAGAAACAATTATCACTGAATCAATACTAGTTACACCATGTTTCGGCATACCTCCTCAATCACAAAGCTGTATGCCACGACGAACAGAAGTTTTTCACAGAAGTCTCTCAGTTACCGTTTGAACGGTGATGTCGAATGCAACCATGCCAACAACATTTCTCGTGCAATTCGTGCTTGTAGTTGTTTGCAATTAAAATCCCGTCAACCTAATGAGATGCTAATTGTCGTGATACAATCATCGTAGCTGTCACGCAAGCTGGAATTCTGGACCATAATCAATTGATCTGGGATATCCGTACGTTCTATTGCAACTTCAGCCATAGCGCCAATTCATACTCTTTGAGCACTCTCAGCTGAGCCTCTAGTGTAAAACGGGAGGGTAGGCGACACGAGTCAACTACGAATTGCACCAAACCGCACCTCCTCCGGCACGAGAAGCGAGAGGCGGACAGCTCCGACTGCCCCTGAAGAGACACCAAATTTTGACTCGTAGCCCAATTGCTACTCGGAGTTCGGACTTTTGACGAGACATACGTCAATAGGTACGAACAGATACCTATATGTAGGAACGTTTCCCGCGGGGCCCCATTTTGACAACATGAGCCTTTTCTTCTACAACAGGGCCAAAGTCCGAGAATATCTCCCAATTTCCATTTAAAAAAGTGGTGATCGTAGTGATTTTAGGCTAGCTGACAGGATGACGAAATCGAAAGACCCGATGGCGACAGCCGTTGATATGGCTCTGGTATCCATTTGGTCAACTATGGAGTCAACCCGGTTGGTCAACGGAAGGGGCATGGGCGGCCGAGTATCCACACCCGTTACCACGGGGCCCCCCGGACCGCCGTCTAGTTCACCTTTGAGTCGGGGCCCGGCCCCCTTTTGGAGTGACATTCAAAAGGTACTGCGTAGAAGCCGATGGGACTGTGAGGTCGGAGAAATGATGCACTTGTCCGTCATTGCTAATTAGCGCATGGTAAAGAAATTCTTGATATGTAGTCGGTGTAGCCTCGACGGCGAGCTTGAACGGGGAGGGCTTGGTTCTTCTTCTTCCGCGCTTTGCTTGCGAATCTTTGCTGCTGTTGGACACTCTTAGAAGTTGGAGGTCAATCGTTGCAATGTCATTTCTCAGTCTGCCAAAGCTGTTGACCGCGGCGCTCAGCGCCAGCGCTGTGGTAGCGCAGAACGTTCAACAGCGCCAACCCAACATCGTGTTCATTCTCACCGACGACCAGGATGAACAGCTCGGCTCACTCGACTACATGCCGTTCGTGCAGAAGCACTTCGTGAATGAGGGAACATATTACCGCAAGCACTTCTGCACTATTTCGATCTGCTGCCCGTCGCGAGTCAGCTTGTTGACAGGTCAAGCTGCTCACAACACTAATGTCACCTACGTTACTCCGCCTCATGGTGAGCAAAGCCTGTCACGTTCCATTGCGAGACTTTCTAACCAGATTTCTACTCAGGTGGATATCCCAAGTTCGTCTCTCAGGGATACAATGAGAAGTACTTGCCTGTCTGGCTGCAGGATGCTGGCTACAACACCTACTACACGGGCAAGCTCTTCAACGCCCATAGCACCGACAACTGGAACAACCCCCACCCTAAGGGTTGGACCGGAAGTGATTGTAAGTGACTGGGAAGCTGAAGTATGATCGGAACCCAATTAACTTTACTGCATAGTCCTGCTTGATCCCAACACCTACCTTTACTTGAACGCGACATTCCAAAGAAACGACAACCCGCCTCAGACGTACCCCGGGGAGTACAGCAATGATCTGGTCGCTGAAAGGGCACTTGGTTTCTTAGATGACGCCCTCAAGTTCAACGGCAGCAAGCCTTTCTTCGTCGGTATTGCGCCCATTGGGCCTCACAACAACGGCCTTGGTGGTGAGACAAGCGCCGGAGCTACGCCACCGATTCCCGCCAAGAGACATGAGAACCTTTTCCCCAACATCACAGTTCCCCGGACTTACAATTTCAACCCGGATAAGGTAAGTCTCGACCCTTTCTTTTGAAGTATTTGTCAGAGGAATATTATGATTAACACGACCAAACCACAGCCTAGCATGGCCAATTGGGGCTTGATTATCCCCAAGCTCAACTCCTCTGAAATCGCCTACGGTGACAACTACTACCGTCGCCGCCTCCAGACGCTGCAATCTGTCGATGAGATGGTCGATGCTGTTTTCAAGCGTCTCGAAGATGCCGGCGTTCTCGACAACACCTACGTCATTTTCACTTCCGACAACGGTTTTCACATTGGTCAGCACCGTCTCAAGCCCGGAAAGACCTGCGCCATCGAGGAGGACATCAACGTTCCGTTCCTCATCCGTGGACCCGGTATTCCCAAGGGAAAGACGGTGGACTTTGTCACTACCCACACTGACATCGCGCCCACCATCTTTTCAATTGCCAACATCACCCTCCGCGATGACTTCGATGGATCACCTATCCCTTTCTTGGAAGACGAGATCGCGAAGGCGCAGAATGATCCCAAGCACGATCACGTCAACGTCGAGTTTTGGGGCACGCAACGTGGTTATGATGTTTTTGGAGGAGGTAAGAAGAACCATGGAATCGAAACGGAGTTTTCACTGACTGAATACTGCAGTCTCGGCCAACAACACTTACAAAGCCATGCGTGTTCTTGGTGATGGGTACAGCTTGTTCTACTCCGTATGGTGCAGCAATGAACACGAGTTCTACGACATGAAGGTAAGTTGACATGCCGAACTCCGAAGTTACGAATAGCATGATTGCTGACGCCCAGAGCAGAAGGACCCGGGCCAGATGGACAACCTGGCTGGTAGCGCAACTGGCCAACTCCTGGATAGGCCGCTGTCATCTGTGCAAGACCGCCTGGATGCCCTTCTCCTAGTCCTGAAAAGCTGCAAGGCGGAGAGTTGCAGACTACCTTGGAGTCAGATTCATCCCGATGGAGCCGTCAACAACCTTCGCGATGCTCTTGACGCTAAGTATGATGACTTCTACGCTGAACAGCCAAAGATTTCATTCTCGGACTGCAAGGACTTTTACGACATCGGATCCGAGGGACCACAGGAGCTCTTGCACTACGACCCGTGAGTCATGTGTGCCTGAAGTTCAATGACAAAGCATGAATAATGAATGGTATATAGAAAAGCTATTGCTGTTGGAAGCCTGTGGCAGCTGCCAGAGTTTGAGGAGTTGTGAAGGCTTCCATCGTTACGCATTGGATGCAACAGAAGTAATAGAACGATTTGATGCCCTGAAATCTTGCAAGAGTTTGCCACGAGATCGTAATCACACTTCAAGATGACTTGAACATTGTCGCGCCATGACATCGGTCAAGCCCTGTCATGCGTTCGTGTCTGGGCGGCTTATTGGACAGGAACATTTCTCTGAGCCTCTGTTGAATCAATTACGAGCCAACTCAGAGCCACCAACGATATTGTGGGTACAGAAGGTTGAACAGAGTTCTTTCCGACGATTCTGATTCAATGAGTTTCATACTCATGATGCAGAAGCTGTATTCATGCAGTATATCGAATAAAAAAGAAATTAGAGCAGCCGAACTGCATTTCGGGTTTGACGAAGCCGCGAGCTTCTCAATCCATCTCAATATTCAGCCGGGATGCAAGTCTAATGCCATACCATACCATGGCAAAGATTGTTATCAAATTAAGATGAATGCTCATAGCATGATTTCGGGAAAATCGCCTCCGACACGCTTGCATGTCTGGGCTAATCTCATCAACGGCGTCTGGCTGTTTTGCGTCACGCGTTTCTGTATTCGAATATTAGCACTGATGTCTTGACGGGATGAATGCAACTTATAATTACCTTGATGAATACGATCAATCATCGCTTGTTTCGTTCTGGGGCCATAGATGAACAGATTCAGGATTGCGGTGACGCCAGCAATGGCAAACGGAACCCAATCCCGCTTGTCTTTCAGTAAAGATGCTGGCCCACTAGGTGGGAATGTGAGCGCCGTTGCAACCAGCAAGATAGATTGACATCGAAAGTAGATGGGGAAAAGTCGCTTTTGTAGGGTCGTGAAAGCAGTCTTCGGAAGCTCGTTGTAACAAACTTTGGTGTTGACGAAGGTCTGGAAGAGGGTTGTGCCCAGTAGAGTTGCGTATGAGATGATGTGGCAAGGTGCTAACAGAGTCGCCATGGTTGATGAAAATGATTGGATTAAGGTAGAGATTATCATGTCAAAACCAGCCATCTAGCAATATAGTTTGAAAGTGAAGAAGCAGTTGGAAAATTGGGAACATCTTCGCTTTTATCTCAACCAAGTTCCGCGCATGTTAATCTAGATGTGCATTAACGTTCCGGCGAAGTGTAAGTTCCGAACACCTTCGGATAGAATGCTAGGTGGCTGTGCGTACCTAAAACTAGAGGGAGGAACAGTGGCTTACAGCCGCCCCCACCACGGAGACTCCCACTACCGCTCGACAGCTGGTCTGGTCGAGGCTTCCGAAAGGATTCGGAGCGGCGGAAAATTAAGCATTTTGCTAACTCCAGACCACTTGATTGGCCCGAGTAAGAGTACATGTCTTGTTTGATTATCATCATGTAGTTGACGAGCCACGCCTTTAATCACGTGCAAAAGATGCACTACTCTGTGGACTGTCACTCTGGATAGTGTTCTGTGAATGGTACAAGCATTGAATAGATGCAAGGTTAGGATTGTGAATGCTGATGCTTCCACTCTGAGATAGCTTACATGTTCTTGACATAGCCACGTTGACCGTTGAGAACAATGCTGACCGTTTGTCTGTTGGACCTCAATCTTGCGACAACATTTCGCTGGTCGAGGTGAAGATTGTCTGCAAGAAGTCATGATCGACAATGACGTCTGTTCTAATGCTCACATTGATATGAGATATGAACCGTCTTCATGAATGATCTACTAACATGTAAGCACAGGCTTACATTTTTCGCCTATCATTCAACTGCCGGTCGGCTTTATCCCGATGATGCCCCGTTCGTTTAAGCTCACCACCCATGACTTGGCTCGTCTTAGAAAGAGGAGCTCCGAAGTCTCAACTTCTGCTCAAAATGTGGCGGTAGCTGACACTCCAGTAATTTTACAGTGGACCACGCACCTCGAACCGCCCGAAAACCCGTGCGCACGTTGCAGCCGGATGCCGTATGACGCCCGCATGCTTCCCGCATGTCACCCACCTCCCATCCCGCGATCGTCGCAGCTCCAAGTGCCGCGATATGATACGGGGAATTATGTGGTAACTGAAACCCTCGGCGCATATAGTACTGCAATGCACCACAACATGCCGCCTTCGCCAAACGTATAGTAGAACTAATTGGCTTGTTTATGACGTGGAAGCGAGAGTTCACGTCGTGGGGAAGAAGCAAGCATGTTGACTCGGAGGCTGGAGCTATCCGTACATGATGGGGGCTTGGTCGAGATGGAGATGGAGATGGAACCTGAGAAAAAGGCATATATAAGTTTCGATGATCACCTCATGACAAAACAAATTCAACAGACGCCTCTTCACTCATTTTCTCATCGCAAATATGGACGTGGCTTTGCCTACAACACGACTCACGGGTCTTGCAGACTCCTACCCAGTGGTAGCGGCGGTTTCTGCTGCTATCAGTGTGGTTAGTTTTCAAATTTTGATGATTTCTGTCGTGTGTGCTGACTTGAAACCCTGAACAGGCCATCGTATACTTTATCGTCCTCCTTCCGTTATACAACATACTACTACACCCCCTCCGGAAGTATCCTGGCCCAAAGCTATGGGCGGCTTCCCAAATCCCGTGGCTTCGCTCTTACACGGGCGGGCTTTACCACGTCAAGCTCCGCGACATGCACGAAAAGTACGGTCCCGTTATTCGGGTCGGTCCCAATGAACTGTCCTTCACCTCGCCAGAGGCATGGCAGGCGGTCATGGGCCACCGTAAGTCGGGTGAAGCGGAAAACGGCAAGGCGCCTTTCTATGCTGTCCCGCCAATCATCACGGGTCTCAACCGAACTGACCACTCACGCGTCCGGCGACTTATGTCTCACGGGTTTTCGTCAGCGGCGCTGCGAGATCAGGAGCCGATGATCAGAGGCTACATCGACTTGCTGATCCAGCGTCTCCATGAGAACAGTCAACAAGGCCGCAAAGCGGTTGACATTTGTGCGTGGTTCAACTACACGACTTTCGATATCATTGGGGACTTGACCTTTGGAGAGCCGTTCGGCTGTCTGCAACAATCAGCGATGCACCCGTGGGTCGAGTTGGTTTTCGCAAATGTCAAGACTACAGCTATGCGGTCTGCACTTGCGCGGTTTCCAGTGGCGAACCATCTTCTTCCATTTTTCGTCACTCCTCAACTTGTTAAGAAGGCAGCTGAGCACAAGGAACTTACACGAGAGAAAGTGTCTAAGCGCTTGACACTGACAGATGCGAGACCTGACCTGGTGCATGGCATGACTGTTGGAAAAGGTGGCCTGGTAAGTGTGATGTTTTGCAACTTCACGGCTGGGAACCTGAGACTAACGTGGTACCTAGACCGTCTCTCGCGAGGAATTGAACGAGAACTCAGAAGCACTCATCATTGCAGGCTCAGAGACGACGGCAACCGCACTTTCAGGGGCCATCTACATGCTGACGACACACCCTGCGATTCTCAAGACGTTGGCTGATGAGATCCGCTCTTCATTCGCGTCCGAGTCAGAGATGAATTCTATCAACACCGCGCAGCTTCCATATCTCCAAGCCGTTCTCGAGGAAACCCTGCGTTTCTTTCCTCCGGCACCCAACGCTTTGCCCCGAATTACCCCACCGGAAGGCAATCTTGTTCTGGGGAAGAGAGTTCCTGGAAATGTGAGTGCAAAGTTCGTTGATTTTGCTGGCTTGTATTGTTTCTAACAACCTACAGACTGTATTGTCAATTCCGCATTGGGCCATGTACCACACTTCCAGCAACTTTAGTCGACCTGACGAGTTCATCCCCAACCGGTGGCTTGACGACCCACAGTTCGCCAGTGACCGAAAGGAGTGTATGAATGTGTTCTCCTTTGGCCCGCGCAACTGCATTGGAAAGAAGTAAGATTCGGAAAGTACTGCATTGAACCGATTCTTTTGCTAATGAAGTCTAGCTTGGCGTATGTGGAGATGCGCATGTTCCTTGCTCGTGCGATCTGGAACTTCGATATCGAACTTGCGGCAGAGAGCATGGACTGGTTGCAGAAGGGTCGCTCGTTCAGTGTGTGGGCTAAGCACCCTCTCATGGTTCACTTGACCCCTCGGCCGGTGGCTGTATAGAGCCAGCAACGTTGTTTCTGGCAATAAGAAGCTTGCAACGAAGCAAAATACTTGGGCGTATAACGTGTTCTAGAGGCAGTCCGTACTAAATACTGACCTAGAGAGGACATTTCAACCCAGAAGTTGTGGGGTCTGAAGCCCGCTGCACACTGTACCAAAGAACCTTATTCCCGATTACGACGACCCCGGACTCAGTGTTATTTCGCGGCTGGCTTGATAGGACAAGGTATGCAGGTTGAAGTTAGAAATAGACTGAAAACAATTGAATTGGCGAACACGGAGTCGAAACTGACCAATTGTGAGGGGGATGATTCAACGACGATCCACCGTTCGGGGGCTAAATCACCCCCGCGCCGAGTGCCCCTTGTCAATTGATTCCGCCTGTTAAGGAGGTCCCTGGCGTTTGCTGTGCACGAGCTCCCAAGCCAAGTACGCCACTAACTCCTGCTGTGACGGACATCGGCAATGCAAAGCGGGCCGGCCCTCATCGTACACTTGGTGCACTTCCTTCCCCGCGACTGGACTTGATCTGGTTAATTCCTCCGTTCTCTTCTTTCTCATCGGTCATCGTGTCGGAATGGCGTCATTGTTGGACAAACCAACATCGGGTTTCTCCTGCCCGGTATGTGGCATGGAATTCCAGCGCCAAGACCATCTAAAAAGGCACGTTTTCCTCCATGAGGATTACAAGCCTTTCGCTTGTTCCACATGCAGGCGTCATTTCTCTCGACGGTGTGTTTGACTTCAGAGGAAAAGAAGTATTCCCATATATCTAGAACAGGTGCTGAAGGCGAAAACCCTGACAGAGACACCCTTGAGCGACACGAATTGGTCCACGAACCCTCAATCAAGCATCATTTGAAGGTGGCCGACAAGACCCGGGGAGCCAAAGCTTGTGTCCCTTGTCGCACCGCCAAACAGAGGTGCGATGGCGATGGACTGCAACCTTGTACTAGATGTGCGCAGAAGGAAAGACGATGTCAATATTTACCTCGTCGCGCCCGACAGGTAAGGCCGTATAGAATAATCAATCTCCCAAAGCGATCTACTAGCATTAATGACTGATGGCCCCTTCTCAGTCTTCGAGGTTGAAGTCTCACGTCAGACGAGAGTCTAGATCAACGAGCTCAAGACCCGCCACTGACTCGGAGAGGGCATCAGTAGAAACTTTGCCCTCACATTTAACAGGCTCACTGGAAACTCCCATTCTGTCCGAGTTTGACACAATGAATACAGTTGGTGAGGCAGATATGGCCCTCGTCACCTTTGAAGCCTCTCCCACTGCATGGGATGAGATCCTCTCCACGACTTGGGAAAACGAAGCACAATTACATGTTAACAATGCTGCACTACAAATGCTGAACTTCACAAGTCCTATGGCCTTTCCAAATCTTCCGTCTGGAAATTGGCCAGCACTGGGAACGACTGGTGAAACCTTCACTATCGATCCCCTGTCCACTCCTCTCTTACTTCAATCTACAACCCAGCGACAGCACGACCAAACGCTTATTTCAGCATCTCCGAGCCTAGACGCCGATCTGGAGAACCTAGGTCACGTACCTGAGCTCACCTCAGAGACATTTGAGGATCTTAGTGCATGGGTTTGCACGATGAGTCGTACGACAAGACCCGTCGATTCATTCTCAAGCCTATCTCTCAACACCTTGAACGCTTTCATACAGCTCTATTTCGAAGAGTTCCACGACATATTACCCATAACTCATCGACCAACGTTCGATCCCAACTGCGCCCCGTATTTGCTGGTATTGGCCGTTGGTAATGTTGGGCGTCGCTTCTCAAAGTTGGCAGGAGAAACATGCTCTGGGACTGAACTTGACCAATTTGTCTACCATGCTGCACAGCAACACGTAATGTCTCTTTTCTTATCAGGGTGTTTCTAGCGTCTGATACAGAACATAGGTCGGAAATCTGGCACCAAACGACACCATTCCGGCTTGGCTAGCACAAACAGTGCTTCTCAGTCAGGTGTCCATGGCCTTCTCCAACGACAAACAAAATGTGGAAAGGAGTAAGGTAACAAGAGGCATTATGGCCGTTACTTTGGGAAAACTTGAACCTCTGTTGGAGGCAGCCGCCATGAACAATTACATAGATACAGAGCGGTCAAACATCCAAACGCGGTGGGAAGCCTGGATTGAGTGCGAAGTATTGCGACGCACGGCATTTGGTCTATGGGTGAGATATTATCACGCTTCACACTTTTTACTCGTTAAGCCTAACGTTATCTTAGCTTCTGGATAGCCAGTGCTGCCTGCTCTTCGATCTCACGCCAGTCGTTCCTACAGAGGCTCTCGCCATGCACATGCCACTTCCTTGTCATGAACGACTTTGGGAAAAGTCATCTGCCTCGGCATGGGAAAAGGCATGCGAAGGTAGGCTCAAAATTGCCTCTTGATGAAACTTCTACTTGCTCCGAGTGTTAACATTTTAGAAAACAACGATCTATCTACATTGCGGGAAGAAATGCAGTCACTATACAAACAGAACCTATTGTCAGAGAACGTGGGGGGCTTTGCACTCTTACTCCTGCTCTTCTGCTTTTTCCGAGACCACCTCTTCTTGAAACAGGTCGAAAACCAAGGCCTCACAGCAGTGAATAACGACGAGGAACGAGTTACTTCTAGTATGAGTCGCTGGTCAAAGACTTGGCGGCTGTTGGATCCGACCAAGCGATCAAATTCCACGCGCATCAGAACCGTCGCAATTCAGTACTATCATATCATTGGTCTTATTATAGAATTACCCCTGAAGGATCTGTATGCGTTTGCAGGCTGGAGAGTCACGCGATTCAAGCAGCGCGAGACCAGACAAAGATTGATGGCATGGGTTTCAGAGCACGGAGATAGGGCGAGGTCTGCCGCACTTCATGCTGGAAGGATATTTCGCCAGTGTCGAAACCGCTCCTCCTGCGGCTACCAGGAACCTTGCGCAATGCTCATCGCAAGCCTTACTCTCTGGATGTACAACAGCTCGTTGACGACCCAGTTGGTGGCATGCAGGGAGAGCTATCGTCAGCAAAACCAATCCCCCATACTCAGACTCGACGAAGACAGCGACCGTGAAGAGGCGTGGGATTGGATACAGACGGGGAAAAAAGCGCGTCCATTCGTTGCTGGCATTGGTGATATCCACATGCCCGGAGGTCACTCCAAGGCCGTGAATCAAGCCATCAACATTCTGTCGTCGCTGAAGGAATGGCAAATTGGGCAGTTGTTCTCTGTCACTTTGAAAGACTTGATTGTGTTATTTGATAGAGACACTATGAACTAGTGCAAGTAGTACACGTCCTGCCAATTCGAACACTATCATGCGCTGACCTGGCAGCTTTGAAGCTTGCGCCTCACCTGGCACCCTTCTCTTAAACTCAGGCTCGCGGTGACACCTGAAGAGGAAGACCTCCCTCCAACTCTACAGTGAAGTTGTCGACTCGTCTGGGAGGCAAGAATCCAGAAGGAAAGGTGATCTTGTACTTTCGAAGGATGGAAGCGAGAATAAGTGTCAACTCAACGGGCACCAGGCTAGAGGTTGGGGCTGCAGTCAGCAAATGAAGTATCAACACGAGCGAAATTGCTTTGAGCTTACTTTTGGCCAATGCACATTCTTGCGCCTTTGCTGAAAGCGACCTGATACTGATCCAGGCCCTTTGCGTCGGAGCCCAACCAGCGATTAGGGTTGAATAGTCGAGCATCAGGGCCCCAAATATCAACACTCGAATGCATCGTATGAGCTGACATAGACACAATGGTCTGTCATAGTCAGTGGCTTTTCACACCAAGCCCAACAGGGTTCTACTTACACCAGGAGGAACAATCTTTCCGTCTACAACGAGAGGCTCCGACAAGTTATGAGGTACGATGCGCGGAAGCCTAGAAGGCACTGCTGAAGCAAGACGAATACCTTCTTTGACGCAAGCGGTCTACAAGTATTCTTGGTCAGTCTGGAAATAAAATGGCGCTGTCTGAGGCACTCACCAAGTACTCGATCTTTTCCAAAGTCTGGAGCGGGGGCAAATCATTCTTCTCCGGAATAGCAGCGTCAAGTTCTTCAACCAGTCTCTTCTCTATGGCGGGATTACGCAGAATCTCGAAGAGAGCCGTGGTCACGGACGTGGCGCTCGTGTCAGAACCGGCCACCAAAAGATCAAGAGATTCGCCGACCAATGCAACATCCGACAGCGATGTCAGATTTTCGAGAACGATGGGATGATTGACGGCTTCTTTTGATCCATCAGAATTGCGCCAGCGGTTCACACACTGCTCCGCGTACTAAACTCCAAGAATTCGGGTACTGCTTCAACTATCGGTTTGAAGAAGTCTTTTGACCAGGAGCTACTTACATCGGTCAAATGAATGAGGTTGCCTAGTTCCGGAGAGACAACTTTCAGCAATCCCACTGGTATCGCGTTGCTGACTATGCGCAACAAGGGGTAATGCTGGAGGGTCTTCAGCGCCGATGCAGCGACGCTGAAAGCTGTAAGAAATTGCGATTTGAAACTGTCGGGCTGCTCTTCCAGCATACCGCGACTATCGGCGAAACAAAACTCCATAATGATGTTGGTAGTCAAGAGTCTGTCAAGACGTCAATCCACGGACCAAGCTGAATGGATCAGGGTTCATAAGAGGATAACTGTTTCATGGAGGGACGTACCGAAACGCATCATAGAAGTCAATGTTCTGCTTTTCACGGAGCCTTTCAATCTTGCTCTCCAACAGTGCCAATCGCTCTCGAATAAGATCCTCAAGCTTGAGGACACCTGCACGTGAAAACATGGGGTTCAACATGCGTCGCCGTTCCTTGTGTTTAGCCTCATCCATCTCGGTGAAGACCGTAGGAGACGGCGCATTGAATGCCAGGTAGAAAGGCTCATTCTTGGGGAAAGGGTTAGATTGCCTGTAGATAACCTTGTATAGGTTCGTATCGGTAATGTGAAGCTCATTTGGCGCGATTCTGATGGCTTTGGCGTCTGCCCTCGTTCACGTTGTCAGTTGTAAAACTCAGCCGGTACCACACGGATTAGAAGGGCAGTCTCACCATACTTATGATGGATTTGCTCATAGATATCTTCAGGGTAATCCTTCCGGGTTTGTTGGTAGAGCCAACTATGCGATTTGGCCGCTTCTCTCGGCCCAGGGAAGTTGCTTAGAGGATGCAGGTAAACGCGGTAAAGCCCTCGAAGGTAGGTAAAAAGAACGAAGATGAGAACAGCCGCAGGAACGCTGAAGGCGATTCGAGTTGAGAGAACCGGATCATTGAAACGCGGCTGCCAGGTGGTAAAATTATCAGAAGACATGGCTGTTCTAGGCGTTGAAATCTGGTGTTAGAGAGATTGCTTAGAAGAACATTGAATGTTGATATCTGAAGCGTCTTCTTCAACGGGCTTTATACAAAGAAAGGTGCCTTCTATTAGGCGGGATTCATTCCATCAGGACCGCTTATGACACAATGAGACAGTGATTTGAGGAGCCGACGAGACAAATCGCCGACGCTAAATTGAGGAGCCGACTGCGCTGATGCCGTGGTGGAAACATTTCGGCTCCTCGATTTGTGGGGCCACAAGACCGGGCGGCAGGCCCCGATACTGCCGCTACCGTAGCTGTAGACTGATCTCCCCCAGCATCGCTGATGTCATTTGAGTTGCAGTCTGAGAAAGTCTTACGCCTGGAGCGAAGTGCTGGAAGGGTTGCTAGGCTCGATTCATGTCGTCGCATCCAGCAAACTAATGGCCTTTACACCGTTTTAAAAGTAGACCTTTAGGCGCTCTGCAAAACGAGGAGAAAAGGAACACAGGATGATTCTTGCTGACAGGATATCAGTATCACCAATTATTGTTTGTATTGCCATGTCATTGTGCATTGGTCAATATTTGCTCTATTGCGGATGTGCGCTCCATCCATCAGACACGGCCTGATTGACAGAGCGGAAATGTTGCGCATCCCGCCGGCCTTGAGTGGATAGCTGTAATTAATAGATCGCCTTACCCGTAACTTTCAACATTGCGCAAATTCTCCGAGCCGCGAAAGTTTCGAGGGGTTCATAAGATGAACAATGCTGGATCGCAACGCAGCCGCATCCGGTGGGATAAAGCTTGGGCGCAGAGGAATTTCTGCCGCAGTGCCCACATGGTCAAACTCTACTGACGACATGTCGAGGTTATCTCTCTGCTCACATACAATAAATCGGTTGTTGTAGACCAACTTCATGTTTAAAGAAATGAAAGTTTTCAAAGCTTAGGCCAAAATCATTGCTTCATTTTCCCTCTAAATCTATGTACTCAAAATCACCGACTCCGCCCAACTCAGTCATGACATCTATGCCTCAACGCCGAGGGTGATGTAAGCGAGCATGCCCTTGGTGACGTCCTCGCCGTCAAGAGGCTCAACGATCATGTTCGGGTTCCAGCCGCCAACGACCTCAGCAGCGAAGATGGAATCGATGTCGTTGGTGGTGCGGTTGATCTCGGTGTGGCTGACGTAGGGCTCCAGAGCCATGATCTGGGCGCTAAGCTCCTCGTCGAAGAAGATCTGGCCGGTGTTGGCAATGTTGGAGCCGACGATGGTGCCGTTGCTGCGGACGGACCAGTCGGTGTGGACCTGGGCGTGGATGTGGATGGTGCGCTCGACGTAGAAACCGGGGAAGACGGTCTTCATCTCCATGATGCCGTTGCTATCGGTGGGCCACATGCCGCGGAGCCAGGTGGTGTCGTCGGTGTGCAGGTCCAGGTCGGGGCCGATGGTCATGTTCAGCTGCTCGAGGAGCTCCTCGAAGGGAGTGTTCGGGTCGCGTCCGGTGAAAGAGCTGTAAGAGCCGGTCTGGAGCAAATATTGTTAGTTTACTTCCTTGATGTCTTGAGGATTTATTAAGGGTTCACTTACAGCATTGCAATGCCACAAATCGACCAAGACATCCTCCATGACTTCGCAAGTGTTGATGTTGAGAACACCGATATCCAGGTAGAGAGGAACACCGGCCTGATCCTCGCTCATGTCCTGACGGAGAGTCTGCGATTGGGGCCAGACGTAAGGTCCCTTGGTGACCTCAGGAGTCAGGACGCAGGTGTCATTCTGCAGAGTGTTGTAGTGGGGGCCCTCGGTGTGAATGGTGACGTTCGAGTCGCGGGCGGCGAGGTGGCGGCTAGCAAGCGAGCGCTTCTCAGCGTGACGCCTCTTGCGGACCTCGCTGAACTGACCGGCCTGGACGGCGCAACGCTTGGAAAGGTTTCCGCGGCGGACCATTTCAGTGTGGCTCAATCCGTGCTCGTGGCCGGGGTGGGCGACAGCCACACCCGTAAGGAGCGCAGTAGCGAATGCGAGGAGTTGGAACTGCATTGTAAAGAATGTTACCGGGGGGCTAAAGAATGTGTAAAGACGGACGAATGAGAGTGTCTGGAAATGCAGGCTACAGATTTCAGCTGATGTTCTGTTCGCTGATCAAACGGCGAAGACGATCACTCTTTATAAGTCTCTCGACGGTTCCGCGTATGCTTTTCACCTTCCCCAAATAGATCAAAAAGCCTTTCGTTGCATCGCCCCAAAGGCACCCCTGAGCAGTCCCCAGAGATGTTCATCTCATCGCGACTTTGCTTTTGTCATCCCCCTTCTCATCAGCGCTCAGATTCTCAAACCGCCAACCATTTCGCGAGCCAGATGTTCCACGATCTCCACTGACGTCGGGTGAACGAAAAATGTCGCTCCCACATCCCGAAGAACCACGACCAGATCAATTGCCTTGCCCGGCCCTCCAAGAAACAGGCAGCCAATCAAAACGGAGGTATTACCGTTGGGCGCCGGGGTTCGGGGCTCCAAGACCGCATCCGGGCTCCACCCGTGCGGGCCGCCAAGAATCCTGGCCGCGTAAGTTCAGGGGCGCTCCCGCTTCGCCGCTACGTCAAGGCGAGTCAAATGCTATCCCGTCGGCCTTGCATACTCCATGGATGATGGGGGCCTCGCGGCAGGAGGCGCGGTAGTGCCGACTATGTGTTGATCTTGGTGTTGTCATGGAGGTGGATAGGCGATTTCTTCCCAAGGCCAGATGCCATTGTCAGATCCGCATCTGTTACCACCCTGGTCCGGAATGCGGGCGCGAACAAGCTTGCCCGTCAACCAAATTTGTAGACATCCAAGACGATCATCAGGCTGGGCGTAACGTCTACACCGATTCTGGAAGGTATGGGAGACAAGGAGCGGAATGTTCCCCCCTGACTGTGGGATTTGCCTATGATTGAGGCTGACGCGGGCATACCGAGAGAACCAGTTCGGGTGTACGTCGTCTTTATGCGTACCACGTAGCGGTATCCTGCCAGAACTGACGGATAGAATGTGGGCAATTTGTAATCTAGAGCCTTTACGCCAAGGTCTACTATGAATATCGTTGTTTGACATAAGGTAAACCGAGAATCCCCGTCGACGGCACCCAGCATACCCTAGCCGAAGCACTTCTTCTTAGCCTTTCTCAACTCTGCCTCCAGACGAAGTCGCATTCGAATCCAAACCCAGCGACCCCAAATGGCCAACCGGTGGCGATTAATATTCTGTAATGGAATTTCCGCCCCTTGCCATTGGTGAGACCTCCACCTCGGGTCCATCGTAGTCTCTCCTTCGCCAAGATCTTTATAAGAGATGAGGTCAATCTTTCCACCGCCATCGCGAATACAGTAGGTATAGCTTGTGTGACAGAAATCGCAGGTCTCAATCCCCCCAAAGACTTTCTTCTGGCGCTTTGACAGGCGAACTTTGGCCTGGAATTTGGCTGACTCGTGGGTCTCGATCGTACTTCGGTTGAAGATCAAGGGGTATTTCCGCTGCCAAGTCATGTGCGCACAACAGTGTGACCGGTCTGCACTCTTGCTCAAAATATCCAGGTAAAGCGACTTACCAATATTAACCGATGACGTCCCGGAAGATACATATTTGTAGGTTTGCAGCTTTATCCTGGTACAGAGGATCATTCGACCTCTCGATACTAGAAACTCTGTGTCGTGGTGGACATGAGGGCGACTGTAGCCGTTCTTGTCAAACTTACCATACCAGCGTTGACTCATCGGCAGCAGATCTTTGGGACGGCACAAACCCCCCAGTCGAAACCGTGTCATGGCGACCCTGATCGTGTCGTAGTCGAGACCCCTTGGAAGCCATGGCGATGGATCCCAGTCTGGCCGCGATCTCTGGTATTTTTGGACACAGGGACGAGATTCGCCAAAGACCCGCTGGTACTCATCGTCCCTCGCAATAGTCCAAGAAAGCTCTGGCGGATGTAACGCCACACATCGCGGGCAGAAAAAGAGTGAGAGGTCGCGGATGTCTCGTTCCAGTAAAAGGAGGAGCTCGCGCCGACAGTCGGAACGCTTTTGCAGTGCCAAGCTCTGTGAGCCGAGGTTGAATAATATTGATTTGCAAGTGAGAGCCGATGCCGCTCGCTCAAACGAGGCTAAGTAGTCAACTACGCAAAGGTGCAGATCCGTGGACAGAGACTGGAGGTTTCTGATGTTTGGAGGCTTTGCGGGGGCTTGGACTGAATCAATCACCTGAAGGAATTTCGGCCGAAACCAACGTGGAAATTGAGACTTACTTACCATAGCTATTACCGGCGAGATCGCAGGTGTTGTTGTCTTATTCTGACCTCAGTGGATGGTTGCGGATGAGGAGAGAAGGATCGACGACTCCTTTATTCGATGACTTGCGTGACTTCGGCATTAGTGTTGAGATGTTTTGCAAGAATTTTCGGGCGGTCATAGTAGCAAACTTTTGAACCAACAAGGTATTTGAGAACTTTGCCAGCGTATTCCACCCGGACCACTTCCCGACGTTCGTCATTACTATGGCCAATCGATTGCGCCGACCTTTCTCATTTCTAACTACAATAATCATTCGACGACAATGCCCGATTTGACCGATTATTCTTCAGTATGTTTTTTCGGTAACCAGGAGCCTCCGTTAATGTTGTTCAATACGTATACCAACATTGAGCACCCTTGGTCTTTAAATGCGCTTTGCTGTCCGGGCAATACACTTAGCTAGCCAGTCAGAGTATAAGTAATACTGAGTATCATTTTCATGCGACTGCCTTATTTTCATGCGTCTTCACAGCTATATTTCTTGTACACTCGACTACTTATGTTACAGACGATAGTGACGATAATAACAATAAACATGACGACGACAACGACGACGACGACAGCAATCAAATCGGAGCCAGTGACGATAACGACGATAGTAGAGGAGTAATTACGACGATAATACTAAAGTAGAGTAAAGTGTATAACCATAGCAAAAATAGGCAGTCTCATTCTAATCATCCTACCTATTGTCTTTACTGTCGTCTTCCTTTATCACTCCTATCGTCGTCGTTCCCAGTGTTCTTTCAATTATTTTTACGGCCCCAACCTCAGTAACTTAGTTCGGAAACTTCAACCTGAATGGAAAAGTATTCTCTCGAATCAGCTGGCAGTATATGCGAACTTCATGCCTTTTGCATTGATGGTACCTCGATGCCACATGCAAGTCATGCTGCAACTAACTGCACACTCGCGCAATGGTTACTAGCTAGGCCGATTTACGAGCTCAAGACACAGCCAAGCCAAATTACTACATGGTTGTCAACGCACAGGTAGGCGCTGCAGATCTAGAATTTGACATCAGGTGGGTAGTCAACACCGAGAGCTAAGCCCTGTCTGTAGCTAGCTGTTATCAGCCATTTCCAAACAATTGCTCCCGAATACAGTAGATCTGTTTGTCGATGTCGTCGAAGCGTCGGTGTGAAGATCGCACCAGCTCTAAGGGGCGGGAACTTTGTCGAGACCGGCGGACCGTAGAAGTTCGGATGACGGCGGCCAAGTGGATCTTCCCGGCGGGAAAATCGGCGGGAGCACGCTGCACGATTGTCGAACCGAGATCGATACATGTGTGTACCTATAAGAACCAGCTGACTGACTCGTCGCCGAGGCTTTGGATGGCGCAGCGTGCCCCGTAGGCACCAGTGACGGCATGCCCTTCGGCGCCCGAATTGCTGGGCGTTGGGGCCAAAACAGGATGGCAATGCAAAGAAGTCTAACCGGCATGTGCAGGTCGTCAAAATGCATCAGCTCGTGTTGGTTCTCGTTGGGGGCGGCCGCCCATGCTGTCGGTTGGTGGAGCCCAAAAGCGCTGTGATTGACGGACATACGGGCGCTTCAGGCAGGACTTTGGGGGTTAGCGGATGATGACCAAATGTAGAATGATGAAGCCGGGGGCTGTCATTCTGGATGCACAGCTTCGGGCGAAGTAGACGAGTTCATGGTCAGAAGAGCAAGCCGGTGTCGGAGCTTCGGTGACGATGACTTCTTGGTGCATTACGGCCGTAGCTGGCCGTTGAAGTCGTTGATAAGCGTTTTGCGGTGGGTTACATGGCGATGCCGCTCAGCTGTCGGCCGGTAAGCACTTGTCTCTGAGTGACAAGCGTTGGCTGAACGCCGCCCCCGCTCATTGGCTTTCTCTTGTCTTACCACCCTCTTGTCAGGCGGAACGGGTCGCTGGATTTAGAAAGCTGACCAAAAGTAGTAAACGCTTTCTGCGCCGGAATTGCGCATGGTGCCTTGGGGCACAGTCAGACATCTCAATCCATCCTTCCGGAGTCCTCTCAGGGTGCATCCCAAACCGCTGTACCGAACCAGACATCGAGCGCAACCCTTCCCCACAATCTGACACTCGCCGATCGGTGGACGGATGATGTAAGAACTTACCATAGGCAATCAAAGATTGGCATCCTCTAGGACTTCCATGCTCGTCAAAATCGTGGGTTTCCAGGAGGTTCACTAAGCTGGCTGAAGCTGCAACATTGGTGTCACACAACCTAGGCCTCAGGTCGGCACCGAGGAGCAGATCCACAACGACAATCAACGTTCAGCGCCGATGGTTTAGTGGTAAAATTCTCCGTTGCCATCAAGCAGCGTCGGGGAGCCGGGGGTTCGATTCCCCCTCGGCGCAATCTTTTGCTTCTGGGCTCGTTTGAATTGAACTGATTTGTGTTATCATGGTGGGAGAACTTTTTGCCCTTGAAACAAGCACGTACTTGAGTTTCTGCATGACTTTCGTTATTCATCTGGGCGCTCGAGTTTAATTCAGTTTTAACGTCATTTTCACCCTGTACAGATCGTGAACAACTCCAAATTCTTTTTCAAATATCTCACTTAGAGTCTAGATACAGTATCTTCGCCAAGAAGGTGCTTCATAACCTTCCCAGACCCTGTCCTCGGCAGTCCGTTCACGAAAACGAACTCCTTCGGTATTTTGAATCGCGCAATGCGAGATTGGCAATGCATGACCATGTCCGTTTGGGGGATTCGAGATCCAGACGAGGTAACAACATACGCCCGCCCAGCTTCACCCCAAGTCTCATCAGGAACTCCAACCACCGCGGCCTCCAAGATATCGGGATGCTCAGTCAGAATCGTCTCAACCTCCGCTGGGTAGACATTCTCACCTCCAGAGATGAACATGTGTTTCCTCCTATCGACAAGAAAAATGAAGCCGTCCTCGTCCGCCCATCCAATGTCACCTGTCCGAAACCATCCATCTGGCGTCAAACTCGCGATGTCTTCTTCCACATTGTTCCAGTAAATCGGAGTTGACACATCCCTAGATACGAGAACCTCTCCTATGGCCCCTGGTAGCAGTGGCTGACCCCGGTCATCAACAACGCGAATGGAAGTCAATGGACCTGGATGACCCACAGAGCCAGCTTTCTTGATGATCATATCGGGAGAAAGCGGCATACCAGATATCGTTCCCATCTCTGTTGAACCATACCCATCAACCATACAAATGCCTTGGTCAAGCCACCACTTGATGCGCGCTGGGGGGTTGGGAGCACCTCCCGTGAAGAGGGCTTTGAGGGTGAGCCATGCTGACGGGTCAAAGTTTACTGCTCTATTTAGCGCCTCCGCCATCTGAGGGACACAGAAGTAATGTGTGATTCCAAGCTGAGGATCACTCAGACGGCGATTGGTGGCTTCTGGGTTGAATCTCGGGGACACGAGCAGCGTGCCGCCTCGCATAAGAGGTGGCCAGATCTGCGCAATGAGACCCATGAAATGGAACATCGGCCCGTCACAGAGGAAGACGCATCCCGTATCGGCTTCTGTCAAAACGCTGAAGTCGACAGTGGTAGCCAGTATGGACTGCGCAGTCAGGATCACACCCTTCGGAGTGCCCGACGTTCCAGAAGTGTAAAGAATAATGCTCGTCTCCTGTGACGACCTTGATTGGAGTCGGCGTCCGGGGTCTGCAATATCGACCTCCTCACAGAATCTAGAAAATTCAATGTGGCGGCAGCCAAGAGATAGCTCGGGTGGGTCTCGATCTGTAAAAATGATTGTTGGCGTGCAGTCATCCAACAGCTTAGAAAGCTCGGGCTGGGCCAGGCGCCAATTGAGGGGAACGAAGATGGCCCCAAGCCTCATCAAGGCCTGTTGAAGTATGATCTGATGAACACTGTTGATGCACACAGTGGCAACCCTGTCACCGGCCTCGACGGCGTATGCGGACAAGACCGCGGTTGCGCGCTGTATGTCGGAGTTGAGTTCCGCATACGTCCATCTTCGGTTGGTTGCGAGATCGATGCAGGCCAGGCTGGCCGGCCGTAAACGTGCATGCAGCAGGACAGGGTCTGGCGCAAAGATACCAGCCATTTTCTTTGCGGGAATCGCCAAAGCAGGAGAGTCCGGTGTGTTGGTTCGGGCGCGCTTTGTTAAAGGGAGGATCCGCTTCGGTGAGAGATTGCTGAAGAATCAGAGGCCGGGCGAGGGCGGATATTGTCGATCACCCGAATCTGCCGAATCTCGAGACTGCCTCGGCTGAAAGATGGTATAAGCAGGTGCCTTCCAATGATGGCACGAAGGGTGTAGAGATGACTGAGAACGAAGAAGAGTAAGCCCTGAGCCAACGGCCCAAATATACCTCATCAGCTGGCGGCAAGGCAGACAAGTGGTTCTGAACGTCGCCGAGTCTTCGGAGTTGTTGCCATTTCCTTCGTTCTTTGCCTTGCAGCCGATGAAGAATTTGACGAATGCGAAGAAATGAATAGCCAACATCGTGCAGCCCTTCCGGAATGCGGAGCCCCGGGGAGCCAGCTTCGTGCTGCCAACATGCACGTTGGAGGTGTGGTGTGTGTGGAGAACCCAGACAGCGTACCTCAATTTTGCTGCGCCGTTAAAAGTCGCAATCCTTCAAAATCCTACTGACCTGTGTCTTGCATTTGCGCTAGATCAGATATGTACGCTTTTATTTTGGGCAATCTGCTCGGGGGCCCAATAGATCGTGAGAGTGACACTCTCTGCGCTAGATTTGCCAACATCACCTGCACATTACGCCTCGGCAGCCAAGATTTGCAAAACTTCCAGCCAAAGGGCTGACTTCCCGGAATCGTCATAAGAATGCGTGACATGATCTGACCTAAGAATGGAGAAAGCCACAGGCTCTGGTTGCTATGTCGTCCAAACGATTGGTTGAGGCACATGTGCCTGCTGCGCCGCCGCAGCTGAACTTCCTCTTGGAGATGGATGGGTGCCTGGGATTGCATGCAGTGATGCGAAGTTGATTATCCGCACCTGGTGAAGAAGTGCAGTGACTAGGAGAGACATGGGCGGAACTTCGGTGTATCGCGATGTCTCCATCGTTGCCGCTAACCGCAGACCCCAGGTAAGAATTCCCTTCCATTGGTCTGCTCGGTTCTGACGAAGTCCGATCCGTTTTGAGGCTCCGGCATAATAAGATAAAGTGTGCAAGAGGTCTTCGGGGGTGGCGTCGTGTGATCCTTCGGCACTTCCAAAGTCCCAAACATATTACTCGCAGATTTCTGCACCCAATACTGGACCCATTACGCCTGAGTTCTGTCGTCAATCGCCATTGCAGTAGTTTCGGGACTTCTGTACAGCTTGAACAGCATGGAAACGAAATCTGACTCTTCAAGGCCTGTACCCGCTGATGATCAAGGTACAGCAACGGGACTCTATGAGCCAATCGCTATTATCGGCATGGGAGTGCGGCTCCCCGGACATGTTCATACCCCAGCAGACTACTGGGACCTTCTATTCAATGGCAGAAGTGGACGGTGCCGCGTTCCCAAGAGTCGATACAATGTCGAAGCCTGGTATGGTCCGGGCAGACCCAACCATGTCCCAACGGAGTTTGGCTACTTCCTCGAGGAACTGAATCTAGCACATGTGGATCCTAGCTTCTGGTCTTTCACAAAACAGGAAGCTGAGCGCATGGATCCTCGACAGCGACTATTTCTTGAAGTTGCTTACGAGGCTCTTCAGAGTTCCGGAACCACAAAGTTCAGGGGTACCGATGTTGGCGTCTATGTTGGCACCATGGGCGACGACTGGAGTCAGCTTGAGTCTCGCGACGAGCAGAGCCTCGAGCAAGTTCGACCTGATGTATATGGAGATTATATCCTTGCAAACAGAGCCTCGTATGAGTTCGACTTGACCGGACCGAGGTGAGTCCAAGACCGTGAGCCTTCATGGACTATCTGAGCTAAACTCAAGCTCAGTGTTGTGGTCCGCACCGCTTGCTCTGCCTCTCTTGTTGCACTGCATATGGCATGCAGGGACCTGCATGGAGGCGATTGCACTTCTGCCATAGTCGGTGGCGTCAACCTCATTCTTACTCCAAAAGATACGACAGTCATGCATCAACAGGGTGTACTGTCTCCGTTGGGTTCTTGTAAAAGCTTTGATGCCGAAGCTGATGGTTTTGCAAGAGGAGAAGGCGTTTCTGTAGTCTACATTAAGAAGCTTTCGGATGCCGTACGGGATGGCGACCCCATCCGGGCGGTCATTCGGTCTACATGTCTGTCCGGCAATGGAAGAACCCCGGGTCTTACCACACCAAGTTCCCAGAGTCATGAGAGACTGATGAGACGAGGGCATCGGATAGCCGGTATTACGGACTTGTCGAAGACTGCGATGGTTGAGTGCCATGGAACTGGAACCTCTGTAAGTCTCACTGCTCTACCATTCTGGATGTGAAAATGTCGAGCTGACGGTCTTGTGTAACTTGTAGGTTGGCGACCCTATTGAGGTCGGCGCGGTTGCCAATATTTGGGGAGATCACGGCATCTACATCGGATCGGTAAGGCGAACAGTGTTGCACAGTAATGTCCGATGCTCACATCAATCCTAGGTCAAACCTAATATTGGTCATGGCGAAGGTGCATCGGGGTTATCCAGCATCATCAAAATGGTATTAGCATTGGAAAACTCGACAATCCCACCCAATATCAACTTCAAGACGCCTAATACAGCAAGTAAGCTTACTCTATGCAATAATCAAGATGTGGCGAATGCTCATGTGTGGATCTAGTTCCTTGGGAACGTGCTAAACTGAAGGTGCCAACAACGCCTTTGCCCTGGCCATCAGATAGACTCGAACGAGCCTCCGTCAATAGTTTTGGGATAGGCGGTTCTAATGCGCACGTCAGTAGGTCCATGTCAAGTTCTTTGGTGAGATTCTGATCGTGAATCTAGGTTTTACTCGAGTCAGCTGCCTGTTTTGGCGTGCAGTCCTCTCGCCGTGTTCACGACCGGAACCTCAGAACTTCCAACCATCGTCTGCTCACCTTCTCTGCGCGCCATATAGACTCGGTCAGCCGTTTAGCATCAGATGTCGAACGATATCTGGATCGAAAACCTCAACTCCTGGGAGATGTGGCCTGGTCTCTGAACACTCGACGAGAGACCCACGCGCATCGCGCATTCTGTGTAACAGACGCCAATGGCCCTTTCCAGATGTCCTCGATAACCAAGCGAAACAATAACCCGCCAAGCCTGATTTGGTTGTTCACAGGACAGGGAGCTCAGTGGGCTCAAATGGGGACAGAGCTGCTTCAGCAGAATGTTCTAGTCCAACAGACTATCCATCGCTTGGACAGCGTGCTGGCAAGCCTGTCTGATCCCCCGCAATGGAAATTGAAAGGTAACTTTTCGCCTTCAAATTGAACACGCTCCAATACTGATCAAATCAGATCTACTTCTAGCACCCAAAGAGCAGAGCAGACTTGCCGAGGCGGAATTCTCACAGCCATGTCTTGTTGCCATCCAGGTCGCTCTTGTGGATTTGCTCAGATCATGGGGTGTCACACCCGATGCCGTTGTCGGACACTCTTCAGGAGAAACTGCCGCCGCTTATGCAAGTGGAGCAATCACAGCTGAAGATGCTATTCGCATTGCATACCACCGAGGTCAGATTACCCTGCTCATCAAAGCCGCCCATAAAGGCTCCATGGCCGCAGTCGGACTTGGTCGAAGTCAGGTTCAGAAGTTTCTCCGCCCAGGTGTTATGATCGGCTGTGAGAACTCACCCGCCAGCGTGACGTTGTCTGGTGAGGCAGATGTGCTTGAAGACGTGATGAAAGACATCATGGCCGAACACCCTGGAGTGCTAGCACGGAGCCTTCATGTTGAGTGCGGGTACCATTCGCGTGAGTTGAATGCTCCTTACTTCTTTCCAGCCACACTGACAGATATCCCCGGCAGAACATATGAAAACAGCAGAGATGGACTTTACAAGACGATTGGAGGGGTGGTTGCAGCCAGTTAAACCGAAAATCCCATTTTATTCGTCGGTCACAGGCATACTGAACAACGATATGTCTCACTCATACTGGGTACGAAACGTGGTTTCTCCAGTTCTATTCAGCACAGCAGTTGAGTCTGTTCTCGACGATTTCAAGTCAGCAGCTTTCGTGGAGATAGGTCCACATTCCGCCCTCGCTGGCCCTATACGGCAGATCTTGCACAGCAAGGGTCGGGTCGCTCAGTATGCCCCGACCTTAGTCCGCAATGAGGATGCGGTATCCTGTGTTTTGAAGACCGCAGGAGAGCTGTGGTCAGTTGGCGCTAGTATTGAGCTCGCCGCAGTCACACCAGCCGGGAACTTTCTGACAGATATACCAACATACCCTTGGCACTATGACAAAGAGTATTGGGTCGAGAGTAGACTTTCTCGATCCTGGCGTCTGCGCAAGTTCGACCATCACGAGCTGTTGGGCACTCGGGTTGAGGAGATCTCCGATGCTTGTCCTGCCTGGAGATGCAATCTCAGAGTCGAGGATGTTCCTTGGATCCGAGATCATATGATTCTCGGAGAGAACGTATTTCCTGCAGCCGGATTTGTGTCCATGATCGGGGAAGCGTTGAAGCAACTGAAAGGGTCCGTCAACTACACCCTCGGGCATGTCACGTTTGATTCCGCTTTGGTGCTGAACGACCGTCCGGTCGAGCTCGTCACTGTTCTCAATCCTCCGCCACCCACGCCGTATCTGGATTCGGAATGGTACGAGTTCTCGATATCTTCGCTTAGTGAAGGCGGTGACACTTGGGTCAGACATGTCACGGGCGAGTGCAAAGCTGGCTCTGATTCAGGCCACCAGTTCCCAGAAGTTGTGAAACTTCCCCGCAAGGTCTCCTTGGACTCCTTCTACAGTACCTGGAAGAGGTTTGGACTGGAATACGGTGCCAGGTTCCGGAACCTTGCCGATGCTAGCTCCCATGTTACCGAACCGACAGCCATTGCATCTCTGCAAACGGAATTATCAGACTACGAAATGGCATCCTACGCCATTCATCCCACAGCTCTTGATTCGAGCATGCATTTTGCGATGGTCGCATCATGTCGTGGTCTTACCAAAAACTTTAAGCAGATGGCGATTCCTACATACATCGAGGAATTGTATGTTAGCAGACCCTCAGGAAAGATACACCTCGAAGCGACGGCGACTGAGAACTCGTCGATGAAATTGTCAAGCTACATCACCGGAGTATCTGATGGTGAAACTGTCATTGACATCAGAGGCCTTGAGGTGGAGCCTGTTGCTGGTAGCTCTGCCATCCAAGCCGAGGATACCCATGCAGGCGCTATTGTGGAATGGAAACCCGACATTGACTTCCTAGACCCTACTCATATTGTTCGTGTCCAAGACCTTGATTCTTGCGACAAAAGCCTGGAAAAGCTGGTGTTAGCATGTATTGTGGAGTCGAGAGCGCAATTGCAGTTCCTTCCAGCAACGCAACCACATTTCGTCGACTTCAAGAGCTGGCTGGACGCCACATATCGACAGACTGTGGCTGGAGAACACCAAGATCTTGCCAGTGCATTTGATATCGCAAACACTACTCCTCAGTTGAGACAGGCGCTCATCGCAGACATGCTAGAAGCTTGCAAGGGCACACCCACGGAAAGCCTTGCGCTGGCAGTCCATCGTGTGTACACGAATGCTGCGGCGTGCTTCACTGGCAGGCCAGACGCTATCAAGGCCATAGATTCTGCCATTTCAATGGCTGAAGATGTGAAAACTCTCAGCGACATCGATCTCGCATCTTTCCTTCAGCTTTCGGGCCACAAGAGGCCGAATATGAACATTCTACAAATCGGTGGTCCCAACGACACTGCCGCTACCATCAACAAGATATTGTCAGCTCTTTCATCTGATAACTTTGGCGACCGTCTCTATGGAAACTACGTCTATGCCTGCACATCATCAGAACCTTCCACTTGGGTGCAGGACTGTTTACGAAATTATCCTGCTGCCAAGTACAGTAATCTCAATACTGATGCTGACTTTACATCTCAGGGATTCAGAAACGAGTCGTTTGATATTATACTTGTTTTGGATGGAGGATCATTTTCGAGAACCAATTTGAAAAAGATGCGCAAATTGCTGAAGTCTACGAGGGGCATAATACTCGGGCAGACAAATTCGGCATCAAGAACTCTCCAGTATGTCACGGGCCTTCTACCACAGTCGAATTCGTTGTCGGAGAATCTGGAACAAGAGCACTATCTTCGAGATCAGCTACAGCATGCTGGCTTCGATGGTAGTTCGGCCGCTACGCTCTTGGGCGATTATTCACGCATGACCATCGCCCGCCCTTTCTCGGACCACTGGAAGACCGACCAAATCAGCATCATCTGCGAGGACCCAGCCCATAATTTAGTCAAAGACGCAACGGAGGCTCTTCGTGGGCTCGGTATAGATCTCGACTTCGTCGTCCTGGGCGACGAACTGCCATGGGGACAGCCAGTCGTGAGCCTCTTGGATCTTGAAGGCTCTTTCATCCATGGAATGTCACAGCAAGGATGGGAAGATCTCAAGAAGACCATTCTTTCGGCACAAGATGAGAAGGTGCTGTGGGTGACCGGGGCTTGCCAAATCGAATGCAAGAATCCGAATTATTCCCTGGTATTGGGCCTCGCCCGAACTCTTCGCAGGGAACTTTCAATGGATTTTGTTACCTTGGAGCTTGAGTCATTTGACACCAATGGCTGGAAAGCTATGCATACCATCCTCAATAGCTTCGGACAGCGCATCACTGGAGGTGACGTGGATCCAGAGTCGGAGTACGTATTTTCACAAGGCTTGCTTCACATTAGTCGCTTCCATTCAGTCGAAGTCTCGAAGCTCTTGCAAGAGTCGAGTGAAGCCTCCAGTGAAGAGATTCGGGGTCACAAAGGGCTTTCTCAAGTGCCTGAGACCGATATGTTAGACAACTGCCATTTCTCTGCCAGCTCATTGACACCGTCCATGACCTGCCGCTCGGATCGAACTTATGTTTTTGTCGGTGGGCTCGGCGGACTCGGACAGGCCACGGCAAGATTTCTTGTCGAGCGAGGAGCCAGAGAGCTCATTTTCTTTTCGAGGTCAGCTGAGCAGTCAGCTAAGGGTCATCCTGAGTATTTTGAAGAGTTGAGGGCTTTCGGATGTGTTGTCCAAGCGATCTCTGGGAGTGTCAATGTCATGGATGATGTTGCAAAAATGGTTCACTCGGCAAACCGTCCGATCGCTGGGTTGCTACAAGCAGCTATGGTTCTCCAGGTATGCTCACCCTTCGTATTCCTAATGCCGCCAAAAGTGATCGAAACTGACAATCACACTACAGGATATCAACATCACCGACATGACCTTTGAACAGTGGCAAACAGCAGTTGACCCGAAGGTGCAGGGGACTTGGAATCTCCACAATGCTTTGCAGCAGCACCAAAGCGAGCCCCTTGACTTCTTGTTTCTTTTCAGTTCGCTCTCGGGTCTTGGAGGTCAGATTGGTCAGGCAAACTATGCAGCAGGTAACGCCTTTCTTGACGCCTTCGTGCAGTATCGCCACTCCAAGGGACTGGCTTGCTCAGTTCTCGACATTGGCATTATGGAAGATATTGGTGTCTTAGCGAGGGAGCAGAATCGTCTTGAAGCCCTGCGGGCGACGAAGCAACATTGCCTGCACGAACAGGACCTTCTTGATGCTTTGGAGTTGATGATCGGACGGTCTCAGCCAGTACCCGAAGAAGAGATTCACGCCATTCAAAACGTCAGTGGCTTCTCAAGTCGCGGTCAAGTTGCCGTCGGCATGAGATCATCAGCTACCTCCAGCAGTCGAAACGGATGGCAGAAAGATCCACGTTCGGGGTTCCTGTCGAATACAGGACTGACGGGAGGAACTGAGAAAAAGGGGGAAGAGGGAGTCACTCTGAACGATTTTTTGAGAAGAAGTCACCTTGATCCGTCGCATCTTGAATCAGACAATGCAAGGGCATTTCTGGCTAAAGAGATGGGTGGGGCGTTGCAGGGTTTCGGCATGAGAGAAGATGAAGAGGTTGATCTGTCACGACCCTTGCAGACGGACTCTTTGGTGACGGTGGAGCTCCGCAATTGGATCCGGCAGAAGATGGGTGTTTCTTTCACCGTTGTGGAGTTGCGGAGTGCGGAGAGTATTTTTGCATTGGGCCAAATGGCTGCAGCCAGGCTTTTGACTATGGGCGACAGGAACACACACTGAGTGTCTCTTGAAGCCCTTCTTTATGTAAGATACAACCAGGCTCAACTTGGGCTCACTTGTGATTTATCCTTGACATCTAAAATGGAATGATCCTCATACACCGCCACTGTTTAGCTGTGTTAGGAACAGCGGAAGTAATAACGCAACTGTGAAGGCAGACAATCGACGAGAGGCTTTATATCATACTTTCTGGAGTAACTGGGATTGTAGTCAATACGGGCTTTGCTACTTTCTTTCACCGACTCGAGATGCCACTCGCAACCCGAGAATGCTCACGGTCCCCACAGTTTCAGTCGAAATTGCATGATACATTATCCCACCGGGTGTCACTGAATTACAGTCCACTGCGTGCGGAGCTCCAACTCGTCAGAGTAAATAGAAAACTTCTTTGTAGCTGATCGAAAGCCGTGTAGTTGGGAGAAGCTAGAGAAAACCGGAGGTTCCTTGAACTGCAGCCCACTGGCACCCGATGGGATGACTAGGGAAGCTGTGATTCATTGTCGCAGTCCTTGACTGAACTTAGTGCCCCTAGTCTTCGAGGAGACTGATACCCAGAAATAAACTTTGTTCAGTATTGCGCTCGAGATTCGGAAATAAGGCCATCTACCTGGACTCCTATGTCGTTCATAAGTCAAGCAGAGTTTTGGACGCCGTGAGTCTGACAATATGTACGCTGTCCACGACAACAATGATAGACTGAGGAGATTGAACACCTCGAACAGGGAACAACGTCGATGCAATCTTGACTACGTAGCTCAATAATAAGTACAATTCAATATCGTCGGGCATACGGCAAAGGCCTGAAAATAGATTCCATCCGGTTGGCGGTAGTCCATCACCGAGCAAAGTGCGGTGAAGGTTTTAGTCGACTCGACTGAATCATGCTGAAGCTAACAATGTTGACTGGGGCCTCGAAAATTAATTAAATCATGGCATCATTGGAATTTGACCTTCTTACCACAACCCTCGCACGAAGAATTGTGGAGTAATTGACCTCATACCGATGAGTTCGTGAGAATGGTGCCATAATTTTGAAGCCCGACTTTCTACTTTGAGTCTCTCAACATTATATAACCACAGGCAATTCCCAGCTCCAGTCTAGTTGCCATCCTCAACACCATTCTCTTCATTTCATTCATCTCTACGTCGTTTCCCAGACTCCATACCTTCGACCACAAGATGCAGTTCAACGCTATTCTCCTCACCCTCGGCCTGTTGAGCGCCACTGCTTCCGCTGAGACTATTCTCGGATGCTGGAACGGCCGATTCACCTGCGCTGGCGCTTGTATCAACAAGGGCGAGTGCAAAGAAATTCAGAGCAGCGACAACGCCTGGTGCTGCGTTGTTTGATTTAAAGAGCGATATGTTGCCATATCTCGAACTTCGTGAGTGAATGCAAACGGCATCAACAGATAACGGACAGAGGCTAACAACTATCACGATGCTCAGGTCCCCTCTTCAGTCTCTTATGAGTCGTGTTATGGGATGGATGAATCGATGGAATGGTTTGGTGCTGCGAGACTATTTACCAAAGAACCAAAAGATAATGTACTTAGTCAACTACTGTTGCAGTCTCTACTACTCTAATTGAAGGCTTCTTCTGATAAAACTTGACAACTGGTGAAGTCTGTGAGCTCGCTGCTACCAAGAAACCCCAAATTTCAAAGTCGAGTTATGCTTCACCATCTTGAGAATCTCGTGGTTGCGTTACAATCAGAATATACATTTGACTTTTGCCGTTTGACGACGACAGATGATGACGACAACAGACTATCATAGACGATCATAAGACGACAAATGATCATAATAGACGATACTAATAATCAGGCCAACCAATGTGACAACAATGAGAATGATAACACCAAGAAAAGTGACAATCCATGGATTATCATGTGATGAATCGTTGGTTAATATAGCTTATACGTAGTTGTCCACCCGGTTAGCTAGTGGTACCCGCCTGAAAAGCGATTCTCATTCCCTCTTTGCATATCTGCTAGTTTCTTTCTATAACTCATCGTATTGAACGCACTCTAGATTCACATATGCAGCCATTGGGTGGCCCGAACGTGTTCAATCTCAACTCAACTGTCACTCACCAGGTTGATCTGCTTATGTCAACAAAAGTCCATCTCTATGGACCTGGCTTTCATATATACTTGCTATAGCATATACTTTGAGCTTGAACCTGCTGAAGGATTTGCACTTCGACACTGGGACGGGAATCCCCAGTCCCGGCGCCCCGGGACATCAGAACATTCGCGGTGGAGAAGGCGATGGATTACCGGTCATGATCCACAATGTCCCGCATCAGCGGAGGAGGGGAAGACAGTGTCGGAATTGAGAAAAAGGCCCAACTCGTACGGCTGAATAATTCGGAAGGGGAATTTGAATTCAGCGAGAAATGAGGTGAGACTGACAGGATGTTAAGATGCAATCGAGGGACAATGTCTCGTCAACCAATTATCCTGGTGTTTTCGGGCCGCGAGCTCGTTCGTGCCCGACATCACAAAGCGCAAACCGCAAATTTCGATATTATCGCGTTGGGCTCTGATGAAATATCGTGATCTTCGACAGGGCGCGAGCGTGGGGGGCATCAGGCGATTTGTATGAATATTTTGCAGCTCTCGGAGCACAATTCCGAGCGTTACTCTTGATTGGCCGCTGCAATGTTTTCACAATCGCTGCAAATCCCTTCTCAACAGCTCAACAAGACATGTGATAGCGAACCATTCTTCCAGGAGAACCACGTGGCAAGGGCATCGCGGGATGTTTTAGCTCAGAGAAATCTGCAATTGCTGGAGAAATGTTCCGATTGGTTTTGGAAATAGCGGTGGCCTTTCAAAAATATGTGATGCGATGCAAGTTCATCGTGGTGCATCGCAGGGTGACAGTCGCCCAAGACGTGGCGGCGCGCAAAAGGGTCCTGATCGACAGGGAACCAGAGGGGCTTTGGGTTCTAAAATCAGGGCAGCGGGCACCTGGAAGCAAGATAAGGTGGGATACCGTCCAGAGAGACAGAAGGAGCTTGGGGGTTCGCGCCGAAAACTTGCCTGTCTGAGCAGGATAGGAAATACCAAGCGTCAGCGGCATGTGGCGCAAGCGTCTGGATCCTTGCGAAAGTCTTGCAAGTGGACCCCGATGACGGCTGTGAGAGCGGAACCTGTGCCGGACATTCAAATTCATGAGTCGGTTTTCAGCATTCTTGAAGCTCATTCAGCCCTATGAAAATTTTGAATTGGCGATATCGCAGCCTAAAATGGTCTGTGAACCCCCATGCCAAGCTATCTAAAAGCTTTTCTGTCAACGAGGGTTGTTCAAGCAACTCATCGGACCCCATGTCCAGACTGTTCTACAAGATTAGATAATCTCGAGTTTCCCACAACTCCACGGTTGGAGAAACTTTGAGTAGGATTGGCGCGCAAAAGCTGTGGAAACTCTGTGGAGCATCACGACATGTGAATCGCCTGAGGTCGGGAGCAGAGCCTGCCATGTGGCGAACAGCGCCCAACTGATAAGGATTTATTTGACATCACTGCAACCTTTGTGAAAGCCCTCGGAAGATGGCCGCACAGTTTCACACACCGCATTTGAGCGTATTTGAATGACGACTGCCCATGACCCTTTACAGCATCGTCAGCTTTCGCCGTTGACGTTGATTCTGTCTTTTTGTCTCGGAAATTCCAGCTTTTTGCTCGGAGACAATAACTCAAGATGACGCACGAGAAGCATTCCCTCGACACCCGCCGTGTCTCTGTCGATGCGGATGGCGAGTCTCTCGGTCGCCGTACCTCAGCACTCGAAGAGGTCCCTACCTTCGTCCCGCCGCCTGGCTTCCCAGGTCTTCCTATTACTCGACGCAGGAGCACCGTCTCGCAGACTTCGCGAGTCACCTTTGAGCATGAGCGCCCGGATGATATGGAGGAACTCGTTCTGAGTGCTTCCGCCCTGAGCCGCCACCGATCGCGAGACAGGCGTGAGTCTCAAGACCACGTCTTCGAGCTTCCTGCATTCCCTCGCGCGGCGAAGCCTGGTCCCGTCAGCACTATTCGAGAAGTTCCCTCCGAGTTTACGACACCGCAGTCGACGCGGCCGCCATCTCCAGTCTCCGGCTTCGCCTCAGGCCCGCCATCCCCAGGGGAAAGGTCCGGTACCCAGACACCGGCCGAATACGAAATCGGCACGGGGCAAGCTTACCCAGACGTCGGCACTGTCGCCTCCTTCCGTGGAGCGATTGTACTCCTCTGCACCTGCGGCGCACAACTGATGGACAATGTTTTCATGTAAGTTTTGGCAGAAAATGCCCCATAAGAGAAGATACTAACAATTCAACAGGACAGGCGTGAACATCGCTCTTCCAGCTATCCAGAAAGACTTTGACGTCAAGAGCGGGGAGCTGCAGTGGCTTATCTCGGCTTACACCTTGACTTTCGGCGGCTTCCTGCTGTTGTCCGGAGTTCTGGCCGATCGCTTCGGAAGAAAATTGATTTTCTGCTCTGGCATGGCGACTTTGAGCATTTGGACCATTGCCAACGGTTTCGCGACCTCATTCATCCAGCTCTCAATCTTCCGAGCCCTACAGGGCATCGGCGCTGCCATGACAGTACCGTCGGCGGTGGGCATCATCAGCAACTACTTCATCGCCAAGGACCGAACTCTCGCTCTGACGATCTTTGGTGCCGCTGGAGCTGTTGGTTTCTGCCTAGGCTTAATCTTCGGAGGGTTCTTGACATCGTCACTGGGATGGAGGTACATCTTCTACATCCCAGTCGCGGTCACTGGCACCCTTGGTACGATTGGATGGTTCTTCCTACCCAAGGACCGCGTGGAGGGCACCTCGCGCCCGAAGCTAGACTTTGTCGGTGCCGGTCTCTCAACTGCAGGACTCATCTTGCTCAGCTTTGTGCTTTCCAGCGGTGGAGAATACGGTTGGGGCAAAGCTTTCATCATTGCTCTGCTCATTGTTAGCATCGCCATGATTGTTGCCTTCACCTACGTTGAGAAGAAGGTTGCCAACCCCATCATGCCACTTTCGCTGTGGAAACTTGAGAACTTTGCTGCTCTATGGATCGGCGGATTTGGTAAGTCTTGCATCTCCAGCATGCGAACTATCGATTCAGAGACATATGCTAACACCTGGACAGTCATGTACGGCGGATACCAGACGACCATCTACTACACGACCCTCATTGCACAGGAAGTAAACAAGCTTAGCGCCGGTGAGACTGCACTTCGTTTTCTCCCCATGGGTGCTACAGGCTTCATCTTCAGCCTCTCCATGTCTCGCATGCTTGAGATCTTCAACCCCAAGTGGCTTCTCGCCGTAGGCATGGCCATTTGCGCTATCGCGCCAGTGCCTGCCGCGCTCATGAGGGATGACGACCTCAACTTCTGGAAGCATATCTTTCCTACAACTGTCATTGGTGTCGCTGGGACGACAATCGTGTACTGCACTATCACCGTCGTACTCCTGGCTTCAGTTCCAGTGAACGTCAAGAGTCTCTGCGGCGGTATGATCAACACCGCATTTCAAATCGGCAGCGGGTTTGGGCTTGCGGTTGCAAGCGCAGTTGTGCAGGCGGTCGATACAAAGAACGGACACGGTATCTTGCAACAATACGGAACCGGTCTGTGGTGCTGCGTTGGTTTTGCCGGTGTTGGTGTTGTCGCGAGTATCTTCGGGGTTAAGGACGTTGGCAGAGTCGTCAACGGCCCTGTGATGGCGCACTAATTCATGATTGAAATGACTTGATACGAAGGATAGATGGACATCAAAAGTTTAGCGTTGTTGATTATATGGGTAATTGGTGATAGACTCGAGACATAGTTCAGGGAGAACCGATAGCACGCCGTCAAGGAGCGCAGAATTATTTTACGGATAGAATGCGAATTTTGGACTTGCGATAATAGAAGCTTGAGTTTGACTTCATCATGTTGCATATTCAACTTCAGTATCTGAGACCGCGGTTATTGTCGCTGTCGCTTGACTCGAGCAAGCTGATGACGTGCCTGTGAATTCTCCGGTGCCCGGCCCTGGCTCCCGGTCCGGCCCGCCGGAAATCTTATGAGCCTGGGCCGCGCCCCACCCCGTGCCGACTCGGCGTATTCTCGGGCGCTCGGCAGGGTGCCACTTGCGTTTTGTTTCTAATCGTAGCCGTAGGGTCGCATTGAAATGTTCACGAGAACGAGTGTAACTGAGTCCCTTGTTTCTCTTCTTTGCATGTGAGACGTTGTCTGATTGATTACCAACAAAGCTTATTGTTGCATAAAGATGTTGGCGTTCTAGACCGCCCAACCATCAGCACCCTGCTGAAGCACCACCCAAATCACATTGTAATCAGAGTTTAAGCGAGGCCACCAACACCTAGAATTGAGTCTGCCAAGTATCATTGGAGATACTTTGGTCAGATGTCGGAAGGCACCCATTGAAGTCTCACTAATTTGTCGATGAACTGGATCCTGTACATCACTTTATTTGAAAACAAGTAGCAGTCTTCATTGTCTCATTACTAAAACGAAAAGTAGGTGCATACTGCCCAGGTATCATTCGCGCTTCCCATGCTCCCAATGGTCCCAAAAGTCCGGTCTACCGAAAAGTATCAAGCTCTATGGAGCTCTTGCTGTCGCCTGCAGGTGGCATCCTCTCGTGCCGTACCCTGACTTCTTCTGTTTTCATAATGCCTCGCGGCGTAGTCTGACCGCTTTCCACATCTTGCAAGGCTTCTTGTGATTCTTGCCATCCTGTTGTCGACATGACAACGACCGAGTTCCTTCCGTAATGTGTTCCCTGTCCGTATCGCTTCGTCCTCGCCGTCTTTGCCGTTTCGAGTGCATTCGTCTGTGACCTACTCCGTCCGTAACTTCTCGAGGCGGACTTCAGCTCGCGGTACAGCATTCTCCTATGTAGACATTAGTAAATGATGCAGTAAAATAGTGCATTGTATACTCACAGGACAGGAATTGAGACAGCCATGATGGAGGCGGCAGGTTCAGTCAAGGTCCAGATAGTGAGGTCGACACGATCGTATGTGATATCCGTGCTAGTCATTGAGACGACTAGAACAGCTTTTACGATTCCGCAAGCTCCGGCGCTGAAACCCGTCAGTTTTTCTGTCCGCGAGATCGGGATCAGAGATCTTACATAGCACCCAAGCTCATGGCGATGGCAACACCGAGTCTCTCACGACGTCTCATGGTTGCCCTCATCAGGATCGGCCAGGGCAGAAAGGCCAGCACAAAGTCGAGGACGGCTGAATAATCTGAATGGATTCGTGTCAGTTTTGCTACGCCACGATGAAGTTGTCTCGTGATCATAGTCATCAACTTACATGCTGCAAAGAGCTGGTATCGAACCAACTTGGTCTTATCCCAGCATGTTCCGGAGACACTGCCATCCCAGACCTTCTCCAGGGGTGTGCATTTGGCGAACCCAAATATCCAGATTAGGTTCATCGAGATGTTGATCGACACGATGACGAAAATCAAAAAGTACTTTGTCCAGTTGTTGGTTACGATTCGGTACAGCGTGAGGGCGAAGGACGATTTGCTCGTTGTCGTCGCGATGATTCCGAAGGTTGCCACAAGGATCGTGAAGAGGTTGATCTCTTTTCGGTTTTCGTCGCTGATGGTCCATATATGGCGACCAAATCCCAGTGACACGATGTAAGAGTTGATGGAAACGGATATCGCCAATGCAGCCTTTGCACACAGCACGATTAGGTTGGTCGTTCGTGATGAAAAGATGCGAGAAGAGCGGCACACATACCCAAGAGCCAATGAGCAAGTGATCGTCCCACCAAAGTCCCCTACCACGCCATATCTTGCAGTATATTCTCAGAAATAGCAGTATAGCGCTTGCGCCTACCAACGACCAAGTTGCGGCAAGCAGCCGGCCGCCTCTATCGTCGACCATCGTCGGCTTTGCGGCACAAGCCCCAGGGCCACAGTTTTCTGTGGACAAAAGCTTGGGTTGAAAATCGTCAGATCTCGCAAGAGTTCAACCAACAGCCCCCAACAGCAGAGGTGCACCGCACCCTCATAATATGGAAACCAGCATATTCGTAAGTTTTTCTGATCAGCGCTCCTTGCAAGGGTGTATCCTAGGCACAACAAAGGTTCCCTCCCCGAGGAGAACAGCTGGTTTAGTGGTTTTTGGGAAAGACGTCCCCGACTCTTTTCGCGCTATGTGCCCCCTCTCGAAACCAGGGCGAAAGTTACAATCATGTGTGTGCGCTAGGGCGAGCCGAGTCGTCCCAGTTAGAGATACGGAGTTCGGATGGGCGTTCAGTCTCCCGCTTTCCTGCCCCGATTTGTCGGCCGACTGGCTATCTGCTTGAACGCCGCCCTGCAGGCTGTAGGGGGGTGCAACCTCAAGGGTGACGGTGGGCAGATGGGAGATTGGCAGTCGCACACGAAACTCCCAACATGCATTTGCATCCTTCCATGGCTTCTTCACACCACTTCACTAGACTACCGGCATGTTGGGCCACCAAATCAAGTAATGTGGCGTTGCAAAAGCCGGATTGTACGGAGACGGAGATTCGGCAAACGCGTCGGCTTCGGCTCGCTACTCGGTTGATCTTACCAACGAGTAATTCTTGCTTTTTTCTTCTCTCTTTCTCATCAGTCATCGAGATGTCTTCCCGTTCACCCGGAAAATTTCTTGCAACCAACAATGTTCTCCAGGAGTCTGCATGCGATATTTCCTTATTCCTTTGTTCTGCAACACGAGATTCCCACCTGCATCAGGCAACAATTTCCACGCCAACGCAACCCAGCTGAAGACTCCGCCCTTTTCTTCTCCAAAGATCACGCCAGGCCAAGAGATCCCAGCCTTACATACTAGCTGGGGTAAGCCTTCTAGCGTCGAACTCAAATGATGTGGATCAAACGGGGCGAGATCCCATTCGTGCGACTGTGGGATTCCCCCGGTTATACATGAACCGGGGCTTCTAGACTCGGTTAACCGAGGTCATCAAGTTGAAAGTCATTAGCCGTTGACCAACGGGCGAAGGTGGCTAGACGGTAGCGTAGTCTCACCATTTTGCTATGCTAAGCCGAAACCAGCAACGCTTGGCCGATGGTCCGCAAGAAGTTGGAATGACGCTAGACACCAACAGCATGCAATTACGAGATGAGATTAAGGGCCACGAATGCAAGCTGGCAGCAACGACGAACCCTCATGGGGGCCATGCGAGCTCTTCGCAATCTGGGTAGGGAAAATCATGCACACGGCCTGCAAAGGCTCGTGGTCCTCCCCGATCCCCGGACCCCAAAGGACACCCCGAGGGGCAGAGGAAGGGGCTAGATGGTGTCATGGGAGTATATTCAATCTAGGGTTCATCGATAGTCCCACGACCGATCGGTGATTACTATCCCAATTAGCACCTAGTAGCGACGCCGTCGCAACCGTTAGTCTCTAGGCAATGTCGGGAGAAGTCGTCGACCGTTGGATGGCGATGAGGCAATTAGTTGACAAAATGCCACGACTGGCTGCCGACTCCTTGCCTCCCGGCTAGCTCGACAACGTGCAGCTCTGCAGGTTCAAAATCAGTTCTTCTGCGATTGACATGAGACGCGCCGTTTTCAGCCACCTGCCACCCTCCTCATCTTTTTGACTTCTAGAAGCCTTCCTTCGAGCCCTTCGACGACGTTGAAACTGCCCAGAATGCGTCCAAACGCAATTAACCTTCTTCTGGTGCTCCTGTCGGGCTTTGACCTGTCCGAGTGCTTCCCGGGTCACCATGACGTTTCGCCTCCTTCCGTGCGTCTGTCCAATGGAACGTATGTTGGTGTCCGGAACGAGGAGTACGCTCAGGACTTCTTCTTGGGCATCCCATATGCGCAGCCCCCCATTGGCTCCCTTCGCTATGCAGCACCTCAGCCGCTGAACTCTTCGTTTGAGGAGACGAGGAACGCTACCGAATATGGATGGATGTGCATTGGGTATGGTTCAGATACTGCCAACCTGGGCAACCCAGTCTCAGAGGACTGCCTGACGATCAACATCGTCCGTCCGGCCGGCACGAAGCCTGGAGATGACCTCCCCGTAGGTATCTGGGTTCACGGCGGCGTAAGTAAACTTCTTCCCAACTTGAGACGACGGCCATCACTGACTCTCACCTCGGCAGAGTTACGTCAACGGCGGCTCTCGCGACCCGAGATACAACCTTAGCTACATCGTCGAGCAGTCCGTCAAGGAGAACAAGCCCATCATCGCTGCCAGCATCAACTACCGTCTCTCCTACTGGGGCTTCCTCTTCAGCCAGGAACTTCAGGACGTCGGCGCGGGCAACATCGGCTTCAGGGACCAGCGCTTAGCTTTGCGATGGCTTCAAGAGAACATCTCCCCCTTCGGCGGCAGCCCTGACAAGGTCACCATCTGGGGCGAGTCGGCTGGCGCACGGTCATTGGGTATGCAGCTCATTGCCTATGATGGACAACACGACAACCTCTTCCGCAGCGCCATCCTCGAGAGTGGTAGCTCTGTCGCCAAATTCGTCGGCGCTGATGCCTGGCAGCCGTATTTCGAAGCACTCTTGGCCAAGACTGGATGCGCTGATGCTAGCGACCGTCTGGCATGCGTGCGCGCTCTCCCGTGGCAGACCCTCAACGCCATCTTCAACGGCACCAACCCTTTGAGCGTCACTGCCCCTACAATCAGTGCTGTCATTGACGGCGATTTCATCAGCGACAAGGCCACGACGCTTCTTGCCGAGGGCAAATTCGCTCCCGTCCCGCTCCTTCTCGGCAACAACTTTGACGAGGGCACGGGCTACGCCAAACAGGGCATCAACACCACGGAACAGTTCGAGTCGTGGCTCGCTAGCAGTCTGCTGGTCGACTCCACACAGATCGCCGCTCTCAAGGAGTTGTACCCTGATGACCCCGCCGTCGGTATCCCAGCGTCGTATCCCGATCGACCCACTGGCACTGCGTTCGGTTCGCAATGGAAGCGTGTCGCAGCCGTCGCAGGAGACTATCAACAGCACAGTGGTAGACGCCTTCTCGCCAGCTCGTATTCTGACGCCGGCATCCCCGTCTACTCTTACCGCTGGAACGTGTACGTCAACGGCCTCGGACCCATCTACGGCGCCACTCATTTTCAGGAGGTCGCGTTCGTCTTCAACAACGTCAATGGTCTCGGGTATGCCACCAATCCCTTTGAGGGCAAGCCGCAGTCGTATGTTCAGCTGGCCGACAAGATGAGCAAGATGTGGGTGGCCTTCATCCATGACACCGACCCCAATCAGTGCAACGGCTGGCCTTGGCCTTGGACTAAGGGTCTTGTCTGGCCCCAATACACGCCTGATCAGCCGCTCAACCTGGTCTTCAACGCCAACTACTCCAAGCTTGGCTACATTGAGAGGGATGACTACAGGGCAACTGAGATCGCCTACATCCAAGAGCATGTTTTTGCTTGAGCCTAGGGTTGGATTGGCTGTTCACGATGTTGAAGATTGTAGATCCTAATTTTAATGATAACTCCTGGCATAGACTATTTATCGAACCTTGCCCAGCTGAAACCTGTGCATGGACTACTTGTTTCCTGTCACTTTTTCTATCTTAATGGACCCTTGAAAACTGTCACCTACCGTCTAGGTCTCTAACTGCGTAAACTCCCGCCACCCTCTTACCATTTTTGTTCGAAGTAGGCTGGGCGGGGAAACCAGATTCAGTTCAACAAGTAAATTTCTTCACCACTTCATACAAATCATTCGATATTTTAATTGACCACAACATATTCAAAGATTGAGAGATTGCGTTGAGGCTTCATTCCATGACACGAGTGAATAAGAGTTCGCTGTCCTCTCAACTACCTAAAGAAGCCAACACTACTCTTACTATAGCTAGGTAGGAACTTGAGTATCTATTTTTGTTGTCTTTTCCTTCTTCAGTAACCTTGGTTTTATTTCTTTCGTCGGCATTGCTACAGTCGTCATCATCGCTGCCAATTTGGTTTCTATTGTTATTTTTATAATCGTCGTTATTATCATTATTGTTGTTGTCGTCAGTATGGATTGCGAACATGAGCAGCCAGAAGTGTTCGCCCATATATTGAAATTCGTGAATAAGTTATAACCCCCTTTGGTTCACTAAGCAACAAGTGGAAAGCATGTCGAGCGGATTTAATGGTGTAAAGCAGTGGTTCTTTGATTGCATGCAAACTACATTCGCATCCATTCCTCCATCCCCATCCCATCTTCGTAAATAACAAACCGATCATCTCATTTCTGGAGCTTCTGTATCCAGCAAGACCTTTTCGCAGCTCCGTTCTTCTGGCTGCGCTCCAGGAATCACAGCTTACAAGAAGCTAGCCATGCCACCACAGATATCAACGGATTCGTAGTTGAGTCCAAACGAGTAGAGCTCAGGGATAATGCGGTAGTAAAAGTTTGCACTGTGGTCCGTACTGGCAAAGCCAATGTAGTCTTCCAACTGGTTGTTTGCCGAAGCAAGGGCCCAGGCAGCCGAAATGAAACCTGACATCTCCGACTGATGGCTACGGGTGAGTAGAGACAGCTTGCGTGTGGTGTACGAGATCTTGAAGCCTGCTGCGCTAGCTCGCTTGCTCAGGTCGCGAGATGCCAGTTCCTCCTGATTCAGGCCGGGAAGGTGCAAAACGGTATTGTTGCCCTCGAAGTGGTTGGCAATGATCTCGTGCTTCTTTCCCGTCTCACTGTCGACAAGACCGCTGAAATGAATGCGAGCGAGAAGCTTGGGGTCAGCGTCGTCACGCTTCTCGAGGGCTGCCACCTCTTCGTCGAACGGCAGGACGCTGACTGAGTCAAATGCAAGGCCGGTGTCGATAAGAGTATTCTCCCAGTATGATCGCATGGCGTCGCTGTATTCGCCAATCTCTTCGCGCTTCATCTTCATGTTGGTCTCGGGCACAGCACCGCTGGTGCCGGAGGCGATCCCGTAGATCAGGAGGAACCCAAGGCGGATTGCCTTCGCCCAATCCTCGCAGTTGGTACCGCCCGCGAGACGACAAACAGTCTCAACCAGGTCAGATCCAGTGGTCATGAAAATGACGCTGAATCAATTTTCAGTCAAATCTGAATATGCTGATGGTATTGGTATAGAACGGAACGACAACTTACACTGCATGACTTGTGCCAATTGTACGGAGAGTTGTGCCGATCCTTCTGCAGACGTTGGTTCGTTGCTCCAACGCGGCCTTCACGGCATAGGCATCGTTGGGAGTGCGAAATTCAATGATACTCTTCGTCGAATCTGTTTCCGTCAAAGGCGCAGCCGCAGTAAGTTGGCTGGCCATCAAGGCGTACGCGGCAGTCTGGAGGAACTTCATTGTTGTGGCCAGAGGATTGAATGGGTTGAGAATCGAGAGAATAGAGTGATACTGTGGCTGAAACTGATGTAGAATCAACTGCAAATTTGGAAGGAAATTTTCACTTTATATATAAATCCCGTGAAAACTTAGGTATCGAGCCATTGCCACCTTCACCTGACCACTAGTTGGAAAGTCATATCTCCTTGCGGACATCTCCACTCAGCCGCTCGAGGATGCGGTCCAGGACCCTCAACACCTTCTTCTTCGAGATAGTGTACCAAAGTCCCTCGTATCGAGAGACCTCTCGAACTACTCCCCATTCAAAACCCTGGCGAGCCGCCATGTGATGACAATTCCTGGGACACATTCCGCAGCACCCGCAGATTCTCAAATCAGAGGGGCCTTTCCATAAACAGTTGGGCCGTACTTCCGGATGCACCTCAGCTTCAAGGGATAGATGTGCGTAGGCTCTGCGAATTCTGTCTGTTCTAGATCTACTAGCAAGGACGTCAATGCTTTCGATACCTCGAAAAGGGTATCTCGGTATTCTGTCTAGCAATAATAATCACAGAATCCAGAAGAGGTGGGAAAGGCGACTATTCGGCAACGACCTCACACGGAGGAAAATGCGTTTCAACCACATCCTGGCGGTGTTCCTGACCCAATGTCAAAGGCAATTAACATTGTTTATCAAAAGCAGTGAAGAAATGTTTTCTCCTCCAGTACTTCCAGATTAGTACATCAACGAAGTGGATGCCTTTGGTGCTGCGGCTCTCTGCTACCTGTTTTGAAGTGACAGATCACAAACCAATCTCCACAGAATCGTGGAACTCATCGCCTTTTCGGCTTAATTAGAAATCTTGATAGAACTTAGGTTGGGAAAAAAGCTTTTGTGATATGATGGGGCATTCTCTCGGAATCGGGAACCGGCTCTGACCATTCGATTGTGCTCTTAGCTCTCATTGAGTCTCTATCTGTGGGGCGGATCGCTGCAGCCTAGGGAAAGCCAAGGCGGGAATCGGCTTCTACCCGTACCCGCTTGTTGGGACTTATGTCGAGGCGGCCGCTCGCAAGGCGGCCGCTCTGTACTAGACCCTGTCAAATCTGTGTCTTGTCCATAAAGCTGACTACTCTGTGAAATCGGCCGCTCTGATCAAGCTTTGCCTGCTTGACTTCCCTCTCCTACGAGAACTATTCTGGCCGTCACTCTTAATTTCCTCGCCACGGTCTACAGCCAGTTGGATAGATACGCTGTGATCGTCAGTATGGCACAGCTCAGGCGGCAATCAATCTCCCAATCACCAGAATCTTCTCCACCAAAGAACGACATGGGCTCAAAGAATGTAGACGTCGTCAGTATCGGTGACTCTATTCCACCTACCAACATCCCAGGCAGTGCTTGGGTCACTGGAGTGGGGAAGATGATTGAGCGCATAGGCTGGAGTCGTTTACCGTGAGTTCCCGATATGAAAGTCCGAGGAGGCCGTCAGCATGCCGCACGACTATGATAGCTGACCAAATGTTGGGGCTTGCAGACTCTTGTTTATCATAGTCTTGACCATGCTCGTGGAACCGGTTTGCAAGATCGCGGGAGTGGGCCGGATACTTGAGAAAACTCTTCTAGTCTGTTATGTCATGATGTTCACGTGGTTCTGTACAATGCTTTACGCGGGCGTTCTAAGACTTTAGATATGGTTTAGGACTAAGGACTCATAAATTCTAAAAAGTTCTGATAGCCGGGCAGTGTCTATACACTTGTCTAATCCGTGTATCCTACCTAGCCTGCGTAGAAGCTTTCGTCGTCGCCATCGTTATCGTCGCCGCCGTCGTTATCACCATCGTTGTTATTATTATCGCCATGCAAATCGTTTTGTCGACGACTAGTGTTCTTATAGAAATGTTAAGTACGCTGCGGACTGCCCGGATAGCCGACTGACACTACCTAGCTACCAAAGCTCATTCTGAACATACAGCCTTTTTAAAAAACAAGTCTCAGCTCAAAGTACAATTTAGACTTACACGAGCAGGCCAAATGTCTTTGAGCAATATCACACCCAGTCCATGTATTTATGTCGTGCACAACACCCAGATGCCTACATCGAATTCAAGTTACTTCATAAACGTGGATTGAAGTTTGTTATAACAGTTTGTGTTATGCTGCTCAGCCCGAAAGTCTGCACGCGTACCGTGATTCCATGGTCGACAGCATGCGATGGAAACCTCCTAACCAGTCAGTCACTTCGACACAGATCATTGTGCTATGGAAGTGATAAACAATAATGAACCAAGTCTTCTTTCGGTACATCTTTCCTCGAACCAAAAACCTTCCGCCACAGCGCTACTTCACAGGCCGACAGTTATTCACGCGCAACGATTCCTCCACTCGAAAGTGACTTATTTTCCGTACCAAGCCAGGCTATATATAAGTTGACTTCCAGAATGCCATCGTAGTATCAAGAAGCAGATCACAGCAATATCCACCAAGCACAACACTTGCGCAATACTCTCTTCCCAAACAACCACTACAACCACATCAACAACCGTTAACACACCTAACCCAGTAGACATCTGCTCATACACAAAATACGAAGACATAAGCTGATAGTTTATAGCCGCAACCATGCTCAGCAAGCAAGATCAATCCCGTGAGCTTCAGAAGCTCCAGGAGAAGGAGAGGCAGGAGGCTCAAAACAGAAACATGGATCAGCTTGCACAGGTAAGAAATATGAATTACATGCCCTAAATGACTACCTATATTCTAACATCACTTCTTTAGCAAGTCGTCGACAACAGGAACGCCGCCATTCAAGAGAACCGTCGGCGAGCCCAGGAGCGCGCTCAGCGTCAGAACCGCAGATAACCCGCTATGATCACGTCCATGGCAATAGCAGCAGTGAGAAACACCGTAGTTATTAAGTAGCACAGTTGAAGAGACACAATATGGGCCTCTGGGCTCCGGTTTCATGGTTTCACTTTTGGCCTATCTACTTACACCAGGATAAAACCCCCTCCAGCTGTACTTTCCTCCTCCGCTATTCTTTCTTCTATGAACGTACGACATCATCTTGGCTCTAGTTGACTTTAGACTTTGAGACACTGAAATAGTCTGCAATTACTGTATACTCATCATTGATTTCGAGGCCTCTGATGTTACACTGCCTCTTGGTGGACTAAGATAAGACACGTGCGGTGATTGTATGTATTTGCATCATGCCCAAGAATATCAACAACCTTTGCTAAAGAATGGCAAATTGCGTATTAAGGCGAGCCAGGTCAATGTGTGGCAAGAGTCTGAATAGCGTAGTCTGTTACTAGCCAGTCTGATGGGAATTTTAAGTTCCGCTGATGCAGGTGGCCTTTGCAAACCGCTATCGACCGCCTATTAGTGCGTGTTATCCGATCATGCTGTGGTAGGTAATAATATGGGCAGTACAAAATCTATTCACTGTGTCGCATTTTTCGCTACCTGCGGTCATTGCTGCATTGAATTCCAAAAAGTCAAAAGACGTCCAGGTTCAGCTTACAGCATATTGCTCTTCTATGATGCCTTACAAGCTGCGTATACTTTAATTTTGTTTGAGGGCCCGAAGGAAGATCTTCAAGAATATACAAAGCTTCAATGTCTCAACGTTGACACATTGCCGATGCAACTTATTCACTTCAGAAAGATAATGATAAATCATCATGGGTCAGTATCTAGTGAATGCTTCATGAGCTTTGTTGCCACTAAGGTAACAGTCCCGTTTGTATCCGCACATGCAAATCGAGAGGCTTGATAGGATATTGCCGACATTTGACACACATTGCCATCGATCCTCCGTTCTCTGAACTATATTCTATCGCTAGTCCTCCATGCGCTACATCGCCACATCATTACGCGATATTTAAGTTCAACCTGAGTCTCAAAATAATGTACAATAAACACAGTCCAAATCATTGCAGGGCAGTTCACTGGTATGGTTCATATGGCAGGTCTGAAGTGTCTGCTTGCTCACTGCATTTTGCTGTGATTGAAGAACTCCTTCACCGCTCCACTCCTAGAAATGCCCCCTGATAGTGTGCGCGAGCAAGAGCAGTGATTGAATTTGTGCTGCGAACGCTCAATGATTCCTCGGTTTCCAAAGAAAAAAGAAATGACATATAAAAGGTTCAGCTTGACGCCCGTAAAATCAAATCTGTACAATACAAATCAAGCAAAACTCAGCATTTTAAGATATCTATCAATACCAAGATCGCACACCAATCAAAACCACTGTGAGTTTTCAGCTTGCAGCTGTCGACACGTCAGTTGCTCTCCAGACAAACACTGACATCTTCCAGCCGCAAACATGCTCGGTAGACAGGATCCCGCGCGTGAGAGAGAGCAGCGCCGGAGAAACGAGGAGCGTGAGCAAGACCGCCAAGATGCCAGGGACTGGCAACAGGTAAGACTATCCAACTGCAGTATCGCTGTATTGACAGCAGTATACGGCCCTTTTACACATAGACTTTAGTCAATTGTTTGACAGAAATTGTACTAACGAATGATTGATGGATTTGTAGAGAGTCAACGATGACCTCGCGCGCCTTGAAGAGCAGACTAGACAGCGGGAAGAGGAGCGCCAGGCCCGTGAGCGCGCGGAGAGAGAGCGTCAGGGCCGTCGCTAAAGTCTGAGGCAAGGAGAGATGACGGCAAGATAGGCTTTGGTATGATCCAGGCAGTGCAGTGTAGTTAAGTGATAGTGAAATAAAGACAAGTAAGCAGAAGCTATCACCTGAAAAGCTTTTAAAGGGACATGGGAAGCTTCCTTTTGTCCTGCGGTTGAAATTTGGATTTGATTTTGTTTAATTCTTGGTCTCAGAGTGTCTTGAATGTCCAGTCGGTGTCATTATCTGGCATGTTGTAGACGATCATATGTATCGCTCGACCCCTCAGGGGGTAGTAGTACCCTTGCACGGAAGCGAGTGAAACGAGTCGTAGCGGAAAACTCCAAGCAACAAGGCAAGTCTCACAACTGTTTTGTTGCCATCTTTGTCATTAAGATATCTTCATCGGCATCGTGTTTGTCGTCGTCGTCGTCTTCTTCTTCTTCTTCGTCACTTTGTTATCGTTACGCTTTTCGTTCTTTTCGTCTTCGTCCAGATTCCTCCCACAATGATATCTACCACCATGCTCGCCGGCTCTTGAGATAGCCCTAAATCTTAGTATCTACCTTAGGTACATCAGCATGCACCTTGATGGGCAACGGAGATACACAAAGCCTCATCATGCGCAAAGGTATGACTCAGCGTCGACGCGTTAAATGTCAACAGATACCGCTCCCCTATTCCAGAGGAAGCCTTCGCTCTTTCACACAACGAATATCGATTTCAACCGCGAAAATGACCGACCTCACCTACATCAAAGCGTTCCTCCTGCTACCTCAGTCTTCAAATATCACTACTCATTTCACTCTAGAGACACCCTACGGCTTAATAGTTGAGTTGAAAACAGGCGAAAAGCTCAGCGTACGTCTCAAAGAGAATCCCACGGCCACCAATTCACAGGATACGCCGGACTGTGCGCTCAAAATCCAGCCTGGCACGCATCTAACAGGCTCACCTGAATCTCACCGAGAGCCAACCCCTACAGTGGACACCGCCTCAGATCGCCAGTCTTCTAACATGGGATACGGGTACGCCATATTCACGGACTGGGGGACTTCAGGCTTGTGGTACGATTCAAACTGGCCCGGGAACGACCCCGAAATCGACTTTCACATCGACCTTGAAGATCTCGAAGACCGGTACCCTGCTGCTTGGCTCCAGGCCTTTGCACGTTGGATAGAACAGTATGATGACTCGTTCGTGGCGGGAGAATGCCACCTCAGCTCTTTTGGTGTACTCTTCCCTGACTTGGAGGAGCGGCAGGCATGGCTTGTGGAAGGTGCGCTACTGGCGGCTTGGTTGGCTTTGCAGAGCGACGTCGGCCATGTCAGTTATCATCCTATTGGCCGTAATTGGGAACTTGAACGCGGAGGTGTGGCAGCGTCTCTGGCCGAGATTGTTAGGAACGTGATGGATGACTCGAGCATTGATTCAGAGTCAGAGCAGGGAGGAGATTAGTTTCGCAGTGGTCTCTCGACGTTGAGCGTATCATGTTGCACTCATTTTACCTCGCCGTGAACCTTTTGTGTTCCTTGAAATGTCTTTTCAATGAGCGAGCCCGCGAAGAGATTACTCGTGCGGTTGGGGATGAGAGTTCAATACCCGGAGGACTAGCAGAAGTGAAGAGTTTTGTTTCCCATGAGCCATGGCGGAGCAGCAATGCCTATCGCGGTACAGCTCAGATTCTATAGGTGGAAAATTTGCCCTTGTACGCTGAATATTGCCCGTATAGATCCGCGATAAAACTTTCTCGGAAGCGAGGATTCCTCTCGTACGTGCACAAAACAGAAGGATACCGTCAGAGAAAGCTGGTTTTCAGCAAGACAAGGAGTAGACAAGGAAAGAAGCTAAACCACCAAAGGAATTCGTTACAATTCCCCGCAGAAATCTCAACTCCTTTCTTGCGTGTCACTCCATGTCCGACTCCTCATTCTGACGGAGCACTTTGAGGCTGTCAGCCTTTCCAAATTCAAACGTAGGACAAAGTGGAAAGGAAAAGGGATTTCTTACTCGGGCGGCAGTTTCAGACCATTTCTTCTAATGCGAACAACAAGAACAGAAGCAACAGGGACTACAGGGACAGCGGAGACAATGGAGACAACAGGAGCGGTGAGAGGTCTGGCAGGGGTTCATCACACTCGACCAACTGGTTCAATTTATCCGCCGTGATGGGATGGCTCAAAAACAAATACATTAATGAGAAACACAACTGGTCTTGCCGCCTTCCATACTCTACCAGAGAATTTTCTCGTGCAAACACTCGTAAGTAGTGTCCACCTCATTAAGCTCGTAGCCAGCAGCTTTCAATCCGTCTACGATATCCTCGGCGCCGTCCAGCACGAACTCAGCTTGGGCCACGAGCCTCTCATAGATCGACAAATCCTGTCCCGGCACCTGGGACATGATCTCCGCGAAGAGTTCTGCACTGTCGCTGTTACCAACGTTCGAAGCTCTTTTGAATGAACTTGCGCTATGGGAGGCGAAACGCGTCCATGTTCGAAACATAACGACTCTGACGAACGGTTGTAAGTCTGTCCTGGCTATTGGATGCTCTTGTACCCCGCGTTTCGACATGTTATCCAGGATGGAGCTCAGAAGAAAGTCGTCGTTAACTTCGAGATATACGTCACATTCCACCCCGGGAAGCCACCGGGGGGAACGTAGGGTTACAACCGCGCGATTCGACAGGCCTAGAGCCCTAAGGAAACCAACGCAAATGACGTACTTTTGGTGCCGAACATGGGGTGAGATACCTGCCGAGAGAAAACTTTGCAAGGTTTGCATTTTCTCAGCCCACATGTTGTCAGTGTCAGGCATGTGGAGGAAATGAACATCGGCGATTCCCTGAAGGTTGTGCACCAAAAAGCAGCGCCAGGAGTTCAAGACGCCACCGTATGTGGTGTCATGTTGAGGGCCAGAGTTTTGGAAAGACTTAGCCTCTGCTTGGCTAGTTGGCTGAGAACAGCGTAATAGGATCTCCCGTATCAACGTTTCCCGTTTCAAGTCCTGCCGAGTTGCCACTTCTGAAATCCAGTGCTCATTTCCGTTCAGCCGTCTCGGCAGGTGGGCTTTTTCATCGGGACCGAAACGATCCCTATGCGGAAAGTGTGTACTGAACGGCGCACAAGCTGTTCTCAAGACGAAAAGCTGCATTTCTCCGCCGGATTCTTCAATTGACTCGAGAAGTTCCGTGATCCAATCAGAAATGCCGAAGTAGGTGGCGATAGCCAGAAACTTTTGCTGAGAACTTATGAAACGCTTCTGCGGATGTGGTATGATGGCATCAGCGTGCCTGTACACCAGTGACAAGAGACTGTGCAGTGTAGCAGCCGAAATACTATCCTCCTTGTGAAGGAAGAGTCTTGTGAACATCTGGCCTGTGAAAAACTCTCTGTGAGGCGCATTAATCATTTTCGTTGCCACCCGATATTCTGGCTTAAAGAAACAAGCTGTCAATAAGATGGTCTTGACTTGTTTTGAGAAAAGTTCATCTGGCTTGAGTGCGTGGCCTTCTAGGATCCTTCTGCCGTCCTCGTCGTCAACAAGGAAATCGACTGCTGTACGATGGGTAAATCCAACACTGGTGTTTGACCAAAAGCCAGGATCATCATCTTGAAAGTCCACAAGCTCTTGGCGATCCATGGTTTGGACTTGCAGCAAGCCCAAACATCTCGTGGACAATGTTTGGAAAACATTCCTACAGCGAACCATGACGTCGTGGATACTTGGAACACTGGATTGCGCTTCGAAATTGTCCAGCCAAGCCGTGTTCGATGAAGTTGCCAGTTGGAGAAGGCTGCAAATGGATGGCTTGGAATACCTGTTCGTCTCCATAACAAGCTGGAAGTACAGTATTGCCTCCTGCTTGTAGTAGATGCTGTCCCCATTGGAGCGAGACCACATGTCTAGGTACAGCAACTTGAGATCTCTCGGGAGGGATCTAATGCGACTGTAGATAATGTCCAAAGTATCGCCATTGGCGAGTCCCCTTTTGACGCTCTCGAGTACAAGGACGACCCAAAGGAAGACACCTTCTGAACGCAAGACAACTTCCCGAGAGAGCTGATCAAGCAACTCGACTGATTCGACTTTCAACATCTGCAAGCTATCTTCCGCGTACTTTCGAATATCAAGTATGTTTAGACTTTGCATCATGAGCATGGGGTGTTTGCTCAGATACCTTTGAAACACAGGCTCGGGTCGACTTGATACGCAGAGCTTGACGTATTGATTCGTGATTAGGTCATCCAAAAGGCACAATAAAGGAGCTTCGCCATCAACAGAAAAGGCCATCTCGTCGAGGCCATCCAATAGAATCAGATATCTCTGCGAGCAATTCCGGAGGAGGCTCAGCAGGACTGACTTCAACTCCTCGTACGTCCAATCGGTGTCGGAGCCTTTGTAGAGGAGCCGTGGGAATCTGGCTAGCAAGGTGTTGCAGGACTGTCTGTCCGCTTCCAAGGCTTGATAAAGGAGAGAGCACACAACACCCTTGAGACTCCTTTGCATAGGTCTTCCTGGCTTCCATACGAAGTGGGACAGAACCCGGGGGTTTGAATACTCTTCTGCCATGATTTTAAGAGTGTCTTCGCTCGTTTCGATGAACCTCATCAAGGTGCTTTTGCCGGAACCGGGCTTGCCACTGACCCAGTACAAGTTGCGGTCATTTCCCCGAAGCCATTCAACGAAGTTATCCCACAGAGGGACCTGGGTGCAGTCATTAAAAGAGGTTTCACTGCCCCTATCTTTCCCCTCGATGTCCGATTGGGAGCCATTCTCAGAACCCACGATGGTGGCTTCATCACTGCCATTATCCTCGACGTTGTCTCTGATGTTCTGGTCGACGTCTGCGATCTCGACCACATCTGATTGGCTTCCTGCAATTGTATATTTGTCTATTCGCCGATAATTGTCTTTCAATATCCACTCGAATGTCTTCGAATGTGCTGTCCTAACACTGTTCTTCCGTTCATTCATATCGGTATACTTCAAACTCTGAAGTAGGCGGTGGTAATCTTGCTCGCTGCTTGCGGCTACGTTGATCGTCTCCAGTTCCCGAACCAGATTGTCCTGGATGATAGCGTTTGATGTTGATACCATTTGCTTGATAGATCTTTCCGTGGCATTGAGCCTGGCTGTGACGTGTAGTGAAACAGAATCCCGGGTTTTAGAGGCTTCTACTGTGACGTGACCTCGAACATCCTCAGATTCGTCCCGCACGACTCTCCGAAGGGCAGAGTGGTCCTCGGAGTATCTCGAAATGAAAGCTGTAAGGCGCTGATCTATACGCGCCAAGGAAGTCGGATCGGTCTCGCACATTCTTTCCACTCTTGCAAATATTCTGACCAAGATCAATGTCTCCATGAGCTTCTGCCCGTCGGCGAGGTTGGCCTTGAGCCGTTCCAGACGGCGCTTCCGCCAAACGGCCTTTGAGGTTGCAACCAACGCTTGCATTCTACCCGGCTGACGAGGCGTGAGGTAAGCAATCTCTTCCTGGAGATCCTTCGCGTGTTGTATGCATTTGGGTGCGAGATCCAACAGGCGCCGTTCCGCGCCCGTGGTTTTTGCCGTAGCGACCCTTTTGCTCCGAAGCAGGGTCATTACCTCCGACGAGGCATCTTGCAAAGAGCTCGCCTGTGCTTCGAGTCCAGGTTCGAATTTACCGCTCTCGTATATGCTGCGGCACATGGAGACGGTCTGCTGACTGAAGTCCATAAGCTGCATGACATTGCAGGCGAGGCTCAGCCCTTCGAGGCCGGACATGGCGGGCGAGTATCAGACAGTCTCGCAGAAGCGTAGCCAATAAAGGAAACTTTTTCATCTGATTTGAACGGGTGTTTGAATTCGCATCGCGTACTCAAGTCAAATCTGAGAAGCTTGTCGGGGTTGAAGTTCGTGAAGATGTGGCGAGAGGCGGTGGAAATGGCGAGGGTGCAGGAGTAGCCTCGGGTCACAGCTGGGAAAGAGGATGGTAAGGCTGCCTGGCGTCAAGCAAGAGGCTTCTTGCCAATGAGGTTGGAGAGAGAGCGTCTATCAGCAGGTCACGCCCCCGTTGACCTGCATGGTGAACCAACAGGAATAGGAATGTGCCACTTACCCTGGTGCAGCACTGGCGCCACACATGCTGACAGGCAGACTGGGAGTTGATCTTCATTCAAAACCAATACTATGGAGGCGGGTGTGACACTGAGCCTCCCAAAACTTTCTTCGATAGCCTATTGAAATGAACCCGAGGTTCAGAACAAGCGAAAGAAAAGTAAAAACGAAGGTAACAAAAAATAGGGACTGCGATAACGTTGACGAGAATAAGGTCGATAGTGAGGACGAGAGTCACGACGATAATAATGATAACGACGACAACGACGACAACGACGACAACGACGACAACGACGACAACGACGACAACGACGACAACGACGACGACGGTAACAGAGATAATGTTACAACAACTTAAGTGGAATAAAGTTGAAGAAGATTGAGTCCTCTTGTATTGTCTTTCCAACTAGCCTTCTATTAATACCTAGAAAAGAGCAAAACCAACGCCGCCCGCAATGCTTTCCTTAATCACCACCACTCCTCACTTCCTCGAGTGAACTAACCTCCCCTTGACCCAAACACCAACCGTATTCCGATCATCCCCGTTGAACACCCACTTCGCAACCCTCTCCTCCCAGTTCTCCCACCCGAACACGTCCACATTCGAATCCATACCCCCCTCAATCTCCCCTTCCTCATCAACAACACCCAGCTCAACCAGCTGCGCATCCCACTGCATGCCCACCTCGAACCCGCCAATCCTCTCCCCGAGCCCGACGACCTTCGCCCCGCCCCTCGTGCCCAGGTACAGCACCTCCTCCACCGTCAGCTTCGCCCTCTCCTTCTCCGCGCCCTCGAGCCCCATCGCGACGTGCCGCGACACCAGCGCCGCCTGCCTCGCCGCCTCCAGCACGCTCGGGCTGTACCCCCCACTCATGTCCGTCCCGAGCCCGACCTCGATCCCCTTATCCCACAACCACCGCACCCGCGCCGCCCCGCTCGTGATGCTCGAGTTGCTGCACGGGCAGTGGCTGACCTTGGCCCCGCGCGCCGCGATCGTCGCGGCCTCCGCCTCCGACAGGTGGATCGCGTGCGCCAGCACCGTCTTCTCCCCGAGCAGGCCCATGCCGTCGTACACGTCCGTGTAGCTCTCGCTCTGCGGGAACAGCTCCGCCACCAGCTCGATCTCGCTCTGGTTCTCCGAGATGTGCGTCTGCACCAGCACGTCGAGCTCCCGCTGTAGCGCGCTCAGCCCCAGCATCGCCTCCTCCGAGCACGACGGCGCGAAGCGCGGTGTGAGCACCGGCGCGACGAGCTCGAAGCCCGGGTCGATGCGCCGGAGGTGGGCGATGGTCTCGCGCGTCTTGCGGAGCGAGTCGGCGGCGTCCGCGTCCTTGTAGTACTCCGGGCACAGGCCGGGGCGGTCCATGCACACGCGGCCGACGAAGGCGCGCTGGCCGAGGGCGAGGCAGATGTCGGCGAGGAGGTTCGTGGCGGCGACGTCGATGGTGGCGTAGTAGGCGCTCGTGGTCGTGCCGTGGGCGAGGGTGCGTTTGACGCAGGCCGTGTAGACGCGCTTCGCCTTCTTGAGGTCCGCGAGGCTGGATTCCAGGGGGAAGGTGTAGGTGTTGAGCCAGTCTAGGAGTGTGGACTTGCCGAAGATGCCGACGTTGGGGTATTGCGATGCGTGGACGTGGGTGTCTTATGGTACTCCAAGTTAGCAAAAGGTCATCAACCAGCAGGAAGACAAAAAAACGGCATACCAATGAACCCGGGGAAGAAGAATTGAACCTCCTTTCCGACATGCACCTTCACATCCCCCTTCTCCCACCCAAGCTTGGGGAACAGCACCTCCTCCGCTTCCGCGCGGCTGCCGCATTTCTCAACGGCAACGATGGTACCCGTGGCATCGACGCAGATGGCCGTGTCGTGGAGGTAATCCAGCTCCTCGCGGGTCTTGGAGTGTATAAAAGTGCCGAGGAACAGCTGGTTTTGCTTTTGTTGCGGTGCCGCCGGTGCTCCTCCACGCGGGGCTGCCGTTGCTTCGGTTGATGCGGGGGAGGGGTCTCTAATCATGTCGCCCATCTTTGCGTATCACGACCTCAAAAAGACGTTCCAGACTCGGGTCGAGATACCGGGGTCAAAGATGGCAAAGAAAAGTAAACACAGCAGTTGAGTGCAGCTTGGAATACCCTCGTCAAATATCCGTTCACCGTTTTTGGAAACCTCGCTCGGCTGTCGTCGGCAACTTCGGCGCAGCTGACGTCGTTCCAAGAGTCGTTGTCCGAGTTGAGCTCTCGTTAACCACTGTCACAGGCCGCCCAGGGAATCCTTCCTGTCCTCCGTTCTAGAAGACCACCCAAAGAGCGAGAGACGGTGTGCTGTGCTGTTGTGTTTATGTGCGCGATCACGAGCCAATGCCAAGTCCGACAGCAACTCGCTCGTCAAAACTCAGAAACAAAACAGACAAAAATCAAGAACCGAAGTCGTAAAGAAGGAAAGGGAAGGCGGGTAGATATATGCAGTGCAACAGATGACGCGCATCCTGAATGAACACCCAAACCCACGCACCCCAACCAAACCCGGCCGCGGCGTCGGAAAGATAAGACGAAGTAGCGCGAGGAGGGGAAAAAAAGGGGAGCTGCGGGCGGGCGCCCGTACCTTACCTACCTAGCTGTAAGCTGCTAGCGGCGCTGCGGTAGGGGTTCGCCGGCGGCACGCCTCGCAACTTCCACATCAAGCCTCCTTCACTGAAGATAAAATTCCCTTAGGCGGCACCGGGAGAAACCACGTGTCTGCAGAAACCAGCTTGACCTTCTTAACTCGATCCGGAAACCTCATGTACTACAGCAAACATATTTTGACTCTTCGTGTGACTCTGCTTTTACTAACTTGGATGAAATAAAATAGAAACAACTTACAAGACACAAAGCCGGCCGGGAAAATAAACAACGAGTTCAGATGCTGCCCGCCAGACACTCGACAACCACAAGCCTGGAGCGTGCTGTGTTCCAGGCAATCGGACCCCCGGAAACGACCTGCCAAAACTCCCCCCCACCCGCAGGCGGGCGGAGGAGGGCAAAGGGGGGGGCGCTTCTCACCGTCAAACGTCGCACGGCGCTCGCCGCAAGCCGAACGCATCGACCCCCCTCGGGACTTTCCCCTCTTCTTCCCCTCCCCTCCCCCCAGGAACTCCAGCTCCAGCTCCAGCTCCCCTCCTTCAGCCACAGTCCGATAATCCGATAAGCCTCTTTGTCCTCCCACGCGAACGCTCTAAGCCTTGGCTGCCACCTGAGAATAGCATCCCACATGACCATATCGATAGTCGAAAGTCCGATAAGAGCTGTTACCCCTGATAGGCAGGTCGACTTACCCTCCCCGGTCTGGTCTGTCCTGTCCGGCCTGGCGCGGGTGAGTCCGTCGATCACTGCAAATGCACCTCGGGACGCTGGTGCTGACGCTGCTGCACCTTCGGAAGAACCATCTGCGATGCCGGGTCCTTGCATTGCCTTTCCGTCGATCCCCCGCTGTCAGAACTGCGGTGCTTGTTGGCTCCCAACACCTCACTTGTATGTATCACCACTGTCCGCCCCTCCCTTTCAGTGTTGGACAAGAATTTCGGCTCGGACATTTTTCTCGTGATTGTTGGCGACACAAGCCGTCATCCCTTGACCTTGTTTTCATTCACTTCGAGTCACTGGCGATAGGGTTTATGAAGTATTGCTCTCTATTCTTTCTTGTCCTTGTACGACCATTAACAATTGACGCCGCCCATAAAACACAAAAACTTTCTACCGCGTGATAAAACAATCATCAGAAAAAACATCCATAGTAGTTTGTACAACAATTACGCCGCCGTCTAGAGTCATGAGTGTCCGCCATTCGTCATCTAGTATCCTCGCCATTGTTTTCATCATCGTGTAGCGTCAAACGCCCACACATTACGCAGCAGCACCGGGACCCTCGTGGTCCGCGGTGACGCCGTTCACTCCGTTAGGAGCAGGGCCGTCCTGAGTGTACTGCTCCCAGTTCGCCAGGATCGAGGCAATCTTGGGCGAGTTGGTGAGCTTGTACACATCCTCAAAGTACTCCTTGGTGAGGGCGAAGGGCTTGGCCGTCACGTTGGGAATGTACTTGCCAACAAGCTTGGCAGGGTCGATCGTCGTCTTGTTAATCTTCTTGAGGAGGAACGAACGGAAGGGCTTGACACCAGAGCGCAGGAAGGTCGAGTGGAAGGGCACGTCGATTCCGCGCAGGGGAATGGTGGCAAAGCCACGCTGGAGCTCAAGAGGCGTGGGCTTCTTGAGGGTAGCCTCGGCGCAGCCCTTGATGATCTCCTTGAGCGCATCCTTGGCCTCTTCGATGTTGGAGCGCATCTCCTCGATGTCGATCTTCTGCTGCTTGAGGAAGTTGGTGACACCGGTAAGGGTGTCGAGAGCACGCAGGTCACCAGCAGCGACGTACTGCATGTTGGCGATGTTGTAGTTGACGATCTCAAGAAGCCAGCCAGTCTCCTCAGCAATGCTGTTGACAACGAACTGGAGAGCCTCCTCGTTGAAAGTCTTGGAGATTCTGCTGGGGTTGATGGCGCACATGGAGTAGTTGGAGCGTCCGGCAGCGTCGCGCTCGACGGCGACCTGCATGGTAAGACCACGGTAGAAGACGACAGACACCAAGCTCTCAATGGGCATGACCTCAGCCAAGGCAGCGAGGGCAGAGTACTCACCCAGAGAGTGACCAGCGAAGGTGCAGTCTCTGGGAACAAGGCCACGCGATCTCATGTCCTCGAAGCTGGCCTTCTCCATGAGGGTCAGGGCGGGCTGGGTGAACTGAGTAGCCGACAGCAGACCAGTGGGGGAGCGGTAGGTGTAGGAAGTGGTCTTCTCGTCAATCTCCTTGAAAATGCGCTCCGACTTGATAGAACCGTCGGCAGCAACAGTCTCGAAGGTCATGGACATGTAGTTCTGGCGGATAGCCTTGCCACGGGGACCACCGAAGTGAACCGTCAGCTCCTTGGGGTTGTTCTTGACGATGTTGGTGATTGAGAAGCCTAGATGCCATTAGTTCTAGTTCAACATATTACTGACGGAGATAACTTACCATAGTTGTCCAGCAGGTACTTGTCAGCGCGGTCCCAGACCTCCTTGGCGACAGGGCTGGAGGCGTAAAGCTCCATACCCATGCCCTGCTCCTGAGAGCCCTGGCCAGTGAAGACGTAGGCGGTCACAGGCTGCTCAACCTCGGCCTCGCCAAGGAGAACCTTCTCCTCAGTCTCCTTGTTGCTGGCCTCAACCTTGATGATCTTGCGACCTCCAACCATGCCAACGTGCTGAAGCTTAACGTCAAGGTCATCATTAGGCAGAACCATGCCAACGAGAGAAGCATGGAAGCTGCGAACGCGACCAATGTTGTTCTCGGCAGCCCAAGTCTCAACCAAGCTGCGGACGGCGGCACTGGAGTACATGCCGTGAGTGATGGTGCCGGGCAGGTTGGCGTAGTTGGCGAAGACGCGGGAGACGTGGATAGGGTTGTAGTCGCCAGAGACACGAGCGTAGTTCTCGTTGGTGGCAGGGGCACGGAGCTGGAGAGGGGTACGGCCACTGAGAGGAATAGGGTTCTCGAAGTGGAGGGGCTGGTCCAGGGGGGTACCGTTGCGCTCGAGGTAATCAACAACAGGGTTGCCGTTGGACTGGCCGGCCTCGTAGTCGACACTGGCGATCTGGATGACCTCCTTGGTGGGAAGCTCCAGGAGGACCTGACCCTGGGTAGCGACGCTGCTGTAGACGGTCTTGGTCTTGTAACGGAGGAAGCTCTGCAGACGGAAGGTGAGAGTCTGGCCAAGGAGATCCAGGTCACGAGGCATGTCGTCAGTGTTGAACCACTGCTTGGACTTGAGAACAGCAACGTCCTTGCTGGTGGCGAGGTGCAGCTGGATGGGGGTCTCGTTCTTGCGCTGGAAGGTGTTCTCGTAGTCGGTGTAGGCACCGCGGTACAAGAACTGGGAGGTGACGTCCATGACGGCCTCGCCATCGCGGTAGATGGTACCGCAGACCTCAACCATCTTACCAGACTCCTGGTTGATGACAGCGTTGATCTGAGCGGTGGTGGAGACCTCATCGCCCTTCTGGAGAGGCTGGGCACCAGGCTTCATGCGGAACTCGTTGGAAAGGTGGACGAGCTTCAGCAGGTCACCGTCGATGGTGCGGGGGAAGATGGGCTTGGTGATAGCCTTCCAGCCAACGACGATGGCAAAGTCCATGGGAGCGTAGACAGTCTTGCCAGGACGCTCAACGAAAGCCTCACCAGTGTTGCCGACGGCGTGGACAAAGTCGTTAATGTCCTCACCAGTAATGGTGGCCTTGCCACCGTCGAACTTGCTGGCGACATCGGCATCCAGGTCGAGAGTCTCGTCACCGAACCACGCACGCCAGTAGAACTCCTTGATGCGATCGTTACGGCCCTCCATCACCTCACGGAGAGGGGCGTAGCCGGCCTCAGGGTGGTAGGTGAACTTGAGGGGGAGAGCGACAGGCTTGCCAAGGGCGGTGGTGTCCTTGATCATGTTGACAACAACCTCATTGTTGTTCTCAAGCTTGACCTCGATAACCTCTACGTAGTGGTTGTGGCGAGGCTGCTCCTTGACAATGATCTTCGTCTTCTTTGGGTCCTTAGGGTACTGGATCTCAACGAAGAGGCCACGAGAAGGAGCGAAGATGCGCTTGATGGGGTTGGTCTGGAACTTCTGTCCCTGAACGACGACCTCGGAAGTGAGGAGGGCGTGGCGCCAGCTGCGGTCGGGACCAGCGAGCAGGGCCAACCAAGAGTCGAGGCTGGGCAGGGTGGCATTGGGAGCAGTCGACAGACGGTAGGTGTTCTTGTGCGCGTCGTCGTAGGAGACGGTAAGGCCGTCAACATCCTCAACAGGAACCTCTGTGTCGATGAGCTTGCCACCAAAGTACTCGATGGTGGGAATGCTCTTGGCATCACCGTTGTAGCGGTCACGGGTCAGGTACTGAACGTGAGTCTTGTGGATGCCGTCCAGAATGTCCTTGATGGGCTCATCCATGACCTTGGAGTACTTGACG